AGTTAAGGTAGTGTTTGGTGTTGGCATTTCAACCTTGAGTGTCTGGTCATTGTTGCTAGGCCTGGTGAATTCAATGCAGTAGTGGTAGTGTCACCAACTTGGAATGGTCAAAGTTCTTCATGGTCACAAAGTGGGTGGGTTTTTTTTAATTCTAAAAAAAGAAAGTAAGATTATGTAAATATTCATGAAGAAGACAGTCTTAAAACACAATATTACCTATAAGAACATAAGAACGATCATACTGGGTCAGACCAAAGGTCCATCTAGCCCTGTATCCTGTCCTCCAACAGTGGCCAGTACAAGGTGCTTCAGAAGGAATGAACAGAACAGGTAATCATCAAGTGATCCATCCCCTGTCGCCCATTCCCGGCTTCTGGCAAACAGAGGGTAGGAGAGTCCAGAGGTTGTTTTCCCATGCAGATCTTTCATTTCAGCAAAACTTCCTGAGTGATACAAGAGCTCCCGCCTCCCCATTCATAGAATAAATTGCTTAGCGTGTGTGGTCATATCTTGCTGCACTGGTACACTTGCTGTTTCCTGTAAATCCGTCCCACCAATTCCCTTGAGGTTCAATAGGTTATGTCTTAGAGCTTGTCTAGACTACTGCGGTAAGTCGATCTAAGTTCTGCTACTTAGCTGGGTTGATGTAACTTAGACTGACTTATCGCGATGTCTACACCGCACTGCATTGATGGGAGACGCTCTCCTGTCAACTTCCCTTACTCTTCTTGGACTGGTGGATTACTGGAGTCAATAGAAGAGTGCTCTGCGATCAATTTAGCGGTTCTTCACTAGACCTGCTAAATCAACACCCACTGCATCAATTGCAACAGCACCGATCTACCGGTAAGTGTAGACCGGACCAGAGTCTGTTGCAGCTCATACTATTTTTCTCTCTTTGTGACATTTAATAGTTCTTTTAAAAAAGTCTGCTGAAATTTCTATTCTACAACTTACTGGACAAATTTATGTTTTCAATGAATAAGTTCTAGGTAGCCAGGTGTGGTTTTTTGCATCTCTATCAGCAAATGCAAGAGTATACATCAAGAATTCTCCTCCAATCATAGCTTGGGCAGAGCCTTGACTGGTCTAGGTGCAATAATCAAGACTGGATGCCTTTCTGCAAGGTATGCTTTAGTTAAACACTAGTTACTGGGCTCATAGAGTGGTAAAATAAATGTCCAGTGAAATATAGGAGGTCAGAATAGACGATCTAATAGTCCCTTCTGGCATTAAAATCTATGAATGGAAGCATGTACAAATGAAAGCTGGGAAGAGGACTATTATTTAGAATTCCTTCACACTGGTCCTATTGGACACCCATATAATCCTTTCAGAGCAACAGCTATGATGGAATTGCTGCACTCATTCTGTAGCAGGCAAGCACCCTCAAACGTGGCAAAACACTGCTTTGTAACTACCAGGGACAGTTTTATACATACACAATGTATGTCAGACCTTTCCAAAAGTCATAGTGATCTTAATAGGCACAAAGGACTCTGCTGATTTGCTTGCAGGATTTTCTCTTCCTCTATGCTGCATTTTGACAAAAGATTTTACTACTTTCTCTTCTCAATGAAAATCAATTTCACAGCTGGTCATCACTTCACTTCCTTTCAGTGGAATGACAGCACGGCCCCCTCATGTCAAGATAATTTCCTCTTCCCACAACACATACCCAGGAGATTCTCATAAGGAAAACTGTTACTTTTTCTTCTTATGCTGGGTCATTCATTGGCCAGGTATATTACTTGGATTTTGGTAACACCCAAAACTTGCTAAAAACTGTTCAAACACATCAAAAGAGGCAGTCCTTGCCCAAAGGACTTAAAATCTACACAGACAACACAAAACAAACAATAAAATCACTTGATAAACTGGACAAGAAGCTAGAAAATCTTAGTTTCCATGTGGATCAGATTACTTGGGAAATACCTCACCTTTTGAGCTCTGTTTGTGCAATGTAGGAGGTTTAACACCTGCCACCTCTTGTCCTTCTATTCCATGGTTCTCAACCCATGGCCTGCTTGCACACAGGTGGCCCATGTGACATCCTCAGGGCCATATATATATATTGCTTGAATGAAGCGCACATAACACACAGTTGCACATGCAGCCTACAATGGTAAATAGGTTGAGAACCACTGTTCTACTCAGATTTAGCTATGCAGATTCATTGTGAGCAGAAATGTAACAGTTTCAAGATGCTTAAGAAAGAAAGAACATAAAAAGGAATATCCTAACTGAAAGAGGCAACATTTCTTATTGTTACCTGAAAAGGGGACAGGATATGGTTAAAATCCAGATAATTAAAACTGTATTCCTACAACAAAGAACTGCCACTGCAACTCAAACTAGCATACTTCCATGCAAAAGAAATATAATAATGCTACACTGGCTTCCTTTAACTGCTAAGGGAAATAAATATAAATACAAACTGATACCAATGCTTAGATCTGTTCTGTTACTGTTTGACCAGCCCAATCAATAGCTTTTCCTCTGCACTGAATTTAGAGCTATCGAAAGATATCACATTAACAGCAGGAAAATTACAGTCCTATTAAATCATCCAGTATGGCAGAAGAAACTCAACCTTCCTGCACCCCAGTCTGCCATGGTGTCTCAACCCTGACATAGAATTGATGAGACAGCACATTCAATTCAGAGCTCCTTCTAGCATTTCTGCTGCCAAGTATGTTGGTGGTTTTTGTGACATGGACATCTCTATACATTAGGAAATGGACTGACACTACAAATGTACTGTCTGCCTTTACAAATATGAACACTGAGCACCTTTTCTCCCCGGTGGGTGAGCAACTGGCCACCCCGAACCTGTTGTTAATTACTTAATACCATTGCAGACGTTAGGTAAATATCTGGGATGTTCTAAACCTATTGATTATGTCTGTGTATGCTTAAATCTAATAAACTGCAGTTTTTGAGAAGATTCATGCAAATAAGCATGCTCTCTTATCAACAGAATTGCTGTGTTCCTATTGATTTATTCCTGACACTGCCTGGATTGAAATAGTTAAGCTGCCCCTGCTGGGGGTTCTGAAAACATCAGGTAACAATATGGGAGAACAGAATCATATCCATAAAGTTTCTGTGAAGGCAACTAACATCCCAAATGCCTAAATTTGTAGTAAAATTAATTATATTCATCTAACAAAATATATAAAATCTGCTAAAGAAAAACTTGGGGATAAATAAATTGAATAGTGCTCCTAAAATCTGAAGAGACTTTTATAGGTGCATATAAGTATAGCATTAGAAACTCAAACAATTCTGCTGAGGCACTGTATTAGCAACTAATTGCCTACAAATTCTCAGTACATCAATACTAACATTTAATTGCCTATACTATCTCCTCCTACTCACAATGCTCTGAAGCAACAGTGACGACAAAATGTCCCTCTCCAGCCCTTATGAAAATAAGCTGGTTATCTCTCATGCAATTCTGGCCTCGATCTAGACCATTTATGAGGAATTATTTACTGAGTGGTGTAAACGGCCCTCATCTTTTCCCAGGATTAATTGACTAATCCACCTGGTCCTGGCCCACATTGCTTCACTGCTTAATTAACAAGAACAGAACAGATAGTACCACATTTCATCTCGTACCTCCCATGTATTTTGAATGGCACAAAAACATATTGGGACTGTAAATCAAAACATCGGAGCATCCAGTAAGATATCATATAGGTTATTATGACACTATGAAATTCAATCAAAATAAAGAAAGCATTCTATTTATTCCATTCTCCAATCAATCTGATATGTAGCCAACAACAGTCAGTATGACTAAATGAAATTTAAAGAATCTAATATAGCTACTGTTTTAAATTGCCCATTATTTCACTATTAACACTAGACAAACCCTGGGTAAATAGGGAGAATGTAAGAATAAAACATTCTCACTTTTAAAACAGTAACTTCTGCTTTTGGCCCATAGTGCTACTGGTCATTTAGTTCTTTTATCACAGTAGGAATAGATTTTCTAGTTTTAAAAATTCAACGAGGATGTGAATTTTTCCAAGTTTTGTTACCACTATAGGAACATACTCTAATCCCAAATGTCCTAACACCAGGATATACAGTAATTTCCCATCTACAGAGACATTCTGAAATGAGGACATAACAGATCAGGATTCCTTAAAATACTTTACTCAACTGATAAGCAGCTTAAATACTTTAGCCTCCAAATTGTTGACCCCTGACCTGTCCTTGGATTGTTTATAGTTTTGGGTAAAATATAATTTATTTTCCAAGCATGCTTATAGGAATAATAATGGAAGTTATTGAAGCTGTAACAGCAAGTAGGAAAACAGAAATAATAGGGTTGTTAGGATTATATCCTATGTGAGGTTTACAGGTAGTTTGTGGTCTGACAAACGAGGATGTAGGTAGGGAGTGACCCTGGGTTGCATATTTTCGCCTGCTCATGATGAGAGAACAAACAATTGCAGGACTGTACATGATCTCCATACCAATACAGTAACTATTCAAACAACGGAACCCTAAACATAAGGCAGGTATGATAAGTGTGAGTAGGGAGTTTGCTTCATATTTCATACTTTGCAGACTTTGCCTGAGTTGTGTTTCCTGCAATGTACTAAAGGTAACATGATGGGATGTCAGAGTAAATGCCATAACAGGACTTTGTGACAAAATTGGTGGATATTTTTTATAGGAAACTTGAAATTAAAATTGAGAATGAGTTTCAGAGTGGATTTTAGATAAAACCGCACAGTACACTTGAGATTATAAATGACTGCTCCAATGTGCCAGTTTTCAGTGACACACACTATAGATAAGTGTACGCTTTTTTAAAAAAAGCATCTATTACAAAATTCAAGTATGGGTATATTAAAGAAAGATGAAGCAACTTTTCAAACTATTCTGTATGTAAAGGGCAATTGTGAGGAATAAAGACCAATGAAGATGGCCTATCTCAGGCCTAGTTGTACTATTTTGCTTGATGTTGCAGGCTTCCTTACCTTGACCTTACTCCTCCCCTTCCTCAGCAAGTTCAGTTTCTTTATGCACCACTACCCTCGTGACAGACATGTCAGGGTGCTGCTCTTTGGCTTCTTTGATTGCCTGTGCCAGTGCCTACAAACATATTGGAAAGATTTAGTTGAGCAATGGCAGAGTGAAATTAAAAACTGCACTGGAGTGGTGGGCTAATGACAACACATTATGATACCATTTAATCACACAGTTAAACAGGACTAAACCTCCTGAATCTAAAGGGGCTCAGGAAAGGAAACTGAAGAGGAAACCCCTCCTTTTCTGTCCAATGCTGGAAACTAGATAAAAAATACCCTCTATCAATCTAACAACAGATTTATATGCTGGTTCAGAGAATCATTCAAGTGCAGGGCTGAAAGGGACCTTGAGAGTTCATCTAATCCATTCCCCCACACTGAGGAAGGGGAAAAAACAGGAGCAACATCATGGTAGAGCATATAGACCACCATATCAGGAGGAGGCAGGGGATGAGGCATTTCTAGATCAACAGAAATATCCAACACACAAGATCTGGTAGTAATGGGGGACTTTAATTATCCAGATATCTGTTGGAAATATAATATGGGGAAAAAAAACAAAACACATTCTTGGAATGTAATAGGGACAACTTCTTGTTTCAGAAGGTGGAGGAAATAACCCGGGGAGCTGCCATTTTAGACTTGATTCTAACTGAGAGGAATTGTTTGTGACTCTGGAAGTGAAAGGGAAGTTGGTGAAAGTTATCTTGAAGTGATGATTTCATGATTCTGAGGAAAGGAAAGATTGAGAGCAGAAGAATAAGGAAATGAAAGACTGTAAGCTTTTGACCTGCTGCAGACTAGCAATAGAAAGCAGACTCACATGTTTGCCTAATAGAATGCACAATATGGGAATATTACATATAATAATTTCCCCACTTCTGAAATTTGTGATATGATTTTGCAGATCATCTCCAAAGATTACAGAGAGTAGACAATGAGGTTATATTCCTGTATTGGTTTCTTTGTGAAAAATAATATTTTCAGGTGTGAAATTTCTAGTATTGTTCTGTTTCATTTGAGTACTAATTGCTTAGATTCATTAGTGATTATTTCCTTATTTGCCATCCCTTAATGGCCTTCACTCTCGTATTGGAGAGTTCCAAACCATTAGATAAAAGGGAAAATTCAAGTGTACAAAAAGATAATCAGGGGCACTTACTAAATTCTAAATAGTTTTTAACTAGGGAACACTTTGAATGCAGCAAACCTAAATTGGGTCTGTACTTTACATCAATATTCACACTGGAAAGCCAGCATGATAGGACAGTCACCGTGACATATGTCTTTAGCTGTAGGTACACTGGGAAAACCAGCAGGGAAATCCCTTGGTAGTGATACACCGGGAGTACTTCCTCCTATCCCCATTCAAAGAGCTTCAAGTTAGAAGTTTCTGGGTACACAGTATATAGTAATTCTGCAAGAAAGGCACTAATATTTTAGTAAGGCTTCAAAAAGTAAATAGTCACAGAAAATTATCAGTTCTTGACTGTTGGAAGAGGTTTTGCAGAATAAAGTGGGGATGTACTCAGTGCTAAAAAATAAGCTTCTTTCGGGGTCCTCCTTGAAGTTTTATCATATGGTAACTGGACCACACTTGTTATCAACACCCATACATTCCTTTCCACAAAATCTTACCCCCCACCTTTAATTTACAGGAATACTGAAACTATTAAAATACATTTCCTTTAGTTTACCAAATTTTCCTGGTTTGAGGGTCCTCACCTCCCCATAATCTTGGGAAAACACTGCCACAGTACCAGTGATTTACGTTCAGGGAGAGAAAGAAATGGGTGAAATTAATCCCAAACTGACTGATTTCACTTGGCATTACATTAGGGGGAAAACAATTTGAAGTGGGATAGCATGCAACAAAGGAAGCAGATAGTATCAAGTGATGTTAAATGAAATCTAGAAGGCCATGCGTCTGATGAAATGGGCATTCACCCACGAAAGCTTATGCTCCAATACATCGGTTAGTCTTCAAGGTGCCACAGGACTCTTTGTTACTTTTTACAGATCCAGACTAACACGGCTACCCCTCTGATATTAGAAGGCCATATTACTCTCACTCCTTCATGCAAGGTGTTTTAAAGTAACAGACAAACAATGTAGTTTGTCAATAAATTGATATATCCTAACTAAGGGACAAGGAAGGTGTGTATTAAATTAAGAAAAGCTGTTCTCAGACACACTGAACTACTTTTGCCCAAGAACAATGGATAGTCTCAACAAAGACCAAATTAACTTGATGGATTAGGCAGAAACTTGCATACCAAGCCATGAAAGTGCCATACGTGTGGCTTATGAAAAAGGGAGACTCCAAGTGAAATGGGGTCAGGTCTGATGGAAAATACCTTTTGGGAATGTGATCCTTACATAATATGGTAATGAATTCCAAATACCAAAGGCTTGAAAAACAAGTGAAACTGTAGGGAGATGTGCTTTGCTGTCTCTGGATTTCTCCTCGTTCTTTTTGCTGATACAGACTAACACTGCTAACACTCTGAAACCTCTCTTTTTTCTGTAACTAAGCTAAAAGTACCTTAATTAGTTCAGCTAAGGTGAAACTTAATTCTATATGTTAAGTAAATGGTTTCTTTTGACTCTGTTTTCTCTGTTTTTAATATATTTTGTTTTATTAAGAGATGTACTGCTGCAGGTGAGCCTTGCAGTTACTCAGTCTCGACTTGCACTCACTCAGTTTCAGAGGAGAAATGCACCTGCAACCTCAAGGGAAACATACACGGTGCAAAAGAGTTTTTGGAATCTACATGCCACACTTGATCTCAATCAAGAGTCATGGGCAATGATGTCCTACCTGACTGAGCTGTGTTGCTATGGAGCTGCAGTGAGTGAACCAAGGGAAGATGCCAAAGAACCAAGTAGGAGACAAGAGTTGGAGATACTGTTTCAGAACAGTAATAAATCCATATACAGCTTTAAATGACAAAACAGCCTAACAAACTATACTGAACCCTAAAAAGAATACAGGGTGCAGCAAAATAATATTCTTAGCTTGGAGTGCAGGGGGTTGAAGAGGGACATTACTCAAACTAATAGGATAATGGGGGGGGAGGAGAGGAAATAAACAGAACTGTGAAGGGAGATTGGAAGGTCAAGGAAGAATGCCAAGGTTAGAAAGGAGATGCACTGATTAAGGATAAAGAGTACGGAGTCTTAAGAAAACTTGTGGACCCAAAAGGGAATGCTTCATTAGTACAGCTTGGTGCCTGCTGTCATCTCTAAAACCTGACAATTTTATTACTAGTTTGCATTTTAAGCAGCACCATGTAGTAGTATTTAAGGGGCCAGCCTGTTTAGGTGATTGTCATGGCTACAGGGCAAAGCAAACGACACCTTAGATCCCTTTAACCCCTCTGAGTGTACTCCTTAGGGAACAGGCCTGGCTTCCTACACCTCACTTTGGTGGAATCTTGAAGTCTAATCACTCAGAGTGGATCTCTGGGCTGCAGCCCCTTGGTTCCTAGTCATGTTAATGACATGGCTCAACTTGCTTTTGGCACCTCTAACAGTTTTCCTTTGGGAGCCCGTGAGAGTAAAAGTTTGCACTGATACAGGAACAGTACCTTGACACAAAATATTATGACAGGTTTCAGAGTGATAGCCGTGTTAGTCAGTATCAGCAAAAGCAACGAGGAGTTCTTGTGGCACCTTAGAGACTAACAAATTTATTTGGGCATAAGCTTTCCTGGGCTAAAACCCACTTCATCAGATGCATGCAGTGAAAAATACAGTAAGCAGTATATATATAACAGCACATGAAAAGATGAGAGTTGCCTTACCAAGTGGGGGTTCAGTGCTAACAAGGCCAATTCAATTAAGGTGTAAGTGGCCTATTCTCAACAGTTGACAAGAAGGGGTCAATATCAAAAGAGGGAAAATTATTTTTGCAGTGCTAACGAGGCCAATGCAATCAAGGTGGACGTTGCCCATTTACAACAGTTGACAAGAAGGTGCTGATACTCACATCAGAATATGATGGGCATATGATACTTATAAAATGTTTTAGGTGATTGTCCTGGCTACAGGGCAAACTACACCTTAGATCCCTTTAGTCCCACTCAAGTGTACCCCTTAGGCCAGTGGTTCTCAACCTTTCCAGACTACTGGACCCCTTTCAGGAGTCTGATTGGTCTTGTGTACCCTAAGTTTCACCTCACTTAAAAACTTCTTGCTTACAAAAAATACAAAAGTTAATCTTTTGCACACTATTACTGAAAAATTGCTTACTTTCTCATTTTTACCACATTATTATAAAATAAATAAATTGGAATATAAATATTGTACTTACATTTCAGTGTATAGTATATGGCGCAGTATAAACAAGTAATTTTCTGTATGAAATGTTAGTTTGTACTGATTTTGCTAATGCTTTTTATGTAGCCTGTTGTAACACCAGGCAAATATCGAGATGAGTTGATGTACCCCGTGAAAGACCTCTGTGCACACGTACCCTTGTGGTACGTGTATCCCTTGTGGAGAACTAGTGTCTTAGGAGAACAGGTCTGGCTTCCTATACCTCACTTTGGTAGAACATTGAAGTCCAATCACTCAGAGTAAATCTCTCAGCTGCATCCCCCCTGGTTCCCAATCATGTTTGACAACTTCCTCATCCTCTACAGCAGTGATGTACAGTAACTCCTCACTTTAAGTCATCCCGGTTAATGTTGTTTCATTGTTACGTTGCTGATCAATTAGGGAACATACTCATTTGAAGTTGTTCAATGCTCCACTCTTACACTGTTTGGGTGCCTGCTTTCTCCACAGCTGGCAGCCTCCCTATGCGCCCTCCCACCCCAGCGCCTCTTGCCAGACCCCGCGGATCAGTGCCTTTTCCCTCTTCCCTCCCCACCGCAGCAATCAGCTGGCTTGCGGCATTTCGGGGGCAGGAGGGAGGAGCGAGGACTCGATGCGCAAGCTCCCCCTCCCTTCCCTACGCCACAAGCCAACTGATTGCCCTGGGCAGGAGGCAGGGGGAGCCTGCGCGCCGAGCCTTGCTCCTCCCCCCTCCCTCCTAAACACCACAAGCCAGCTGATTGCCCCAGGCAGGAGGGAGGGGGGGCGGAGCAAGGACTCAGCACGCCTCCCCCCTCCCGGTGGCAATCAGCTGGCTTGTGGTGTTTAGAAGGGAGGGGAGGAGCGAGGACGCAGTGTGGGAAGTAAAGGGGGAGGAGGTGGGGAGGAGAAGAGGTAGGGCAAGGATAGGGGCTTGGAGGAAGGGGGGAGTGGGCAGGCTGAGGGTTGCAGAGTAGGGGAAGCTGCCGCTGCTGCACAACGTGCTTCTCCTACAGCACCTTCAGCCTCCTTGCCTGCCTCATCTCCAGTGCCAGTGGGCTGTGCCTATGTAGGGTAAGGCAGGGGCACCTTCCAACTATAGTACAGTACTGTATCTACAGTATGTTTGTAAACACACAGCACGTGCACACTACTCCCCCCCGCGTAGTATTAAATTGCTTGTTTAAAATTGTTTAAAATGTATATAATTCCTTTTGTCTGGCACAAAAAGCCTTTTGTCTGGGGAAATTGGATTCGCTTAACATCATTTCACTTAAAGTTGCATTTTTCAGGAACATAACTACAACGTTAAGTGAGGAATTACTGTACAATGCCAACAGTCAAGAAGGAATCAATTTCCATGGTATAAGTTTGTTGGTATTATGAACTTCATAGATGCTTTGCAGAGTCAATGGTAGAGGAATCTATAATTTGTCATAAGCTAAATATCATGGTGAACTTTAGTACAAAAATGTACTGTGCAGTCAATACTTACAACTTATTTTTCTGCTTCATACTGTTTATTTCAATATAAGAGGAGGACTTGGAGAACAGCAGAGGGAATAAATGGAGTTTTATTAAAGCTAAGGTATTGTCTGACCTTTTCAGATGTCCCAAATGTACTAAATACATTTCAGGGTAGACAAAACCCATGTCTAATGCTAAACAGCTCTGGCATTTAATTACAAGCTTCAAGGAGAGATTGAACTTGTCATGAGCCACTTACTACAGGCACATCAAAATCTGAAATTAAATTTACTCAGAGCCCTCAGTACATTATAATTAAGAAGTGAAAATTAAATCCTTATTTGTTGATTTGTATACCTGCCATCAACTTAGAAACTGCATCCAGTGCAACATCATGTAAAGTGCAGACTTTCTTGCCTAAATAACTCAGTGATAATGATTTTTTGTTTCAGCTTTGTCACCATCGCCTCTTAAATGAAAAGTTATGCAAATAATCTGAGCAATCACGATCCCAAGGGACAAACAACTGCATTTTTCTGATTTTCCTGTTCTCCACTTTTCAACGTCTTTTTTGGTAAGGGACAGGTGAAACAATATTCTAAGCCCTCTCTCTCATGAGCATGAAAAAAAAAATGGTGCTTGGTTTTGGGTACCTAGTGCTAATAAAGATTAATTTATCTGTGCAAGATTCCAAAGGAATCCAATTGAGTCCTATACTTAATTTATTGCTAATATACATGAACACACTATGAAATATTGGTTTTCTTGATATTAAAGGAAAAATCTCTGTGTCCTAATATTAATCAAAATTTGCATCATCACTCAGAAGACTGAGGATCCTCCCAGGAAATACATATGATAGCATAATTAGTTGATGGAATTGACGTTCTCAGAATCTACTTGCTCCTATGAATTCTGCTGAGCAGTTCCTTTCTGTATTGCACAGCTCTTAGAGGGACATGGATGGCATACTGTAAAAGGGAACGGCATATGTACTCACCTGGTCATGGTCAATATCTGCATCTCCAGTGATGACAATGCGCTTCTCAATCCTTGTTTCTGATACTCCACCTTTTACTGTCTACAGATGGCACAAAACAAAGAAATTCATCTTTAAAATGATTCCATATAGGTAAGGAGGGAGAATCATAAAGCACATCTACGCCTACTCTCCAATGCATAAGTGGGAACAGAGTTGGTGTGAAAGGGTTGCAGTTAGATTCTTGGTCCTACATCTAAATCATCCTTTCTTTCTTATGGTTAACTGTATAGCAGTGATGTCCAAGAGGAAGTTGCCCAAGACGACCAACCCGCAGAGGAGTCCTTAAGACATTATCTGAGATCAAGTTTGGACAGATATGGAAATGGGGCTGTTAGATCAGGGTTCCAGTCGTCTTTGTCATCATCTTGGTGAGTGACAAGTTACCTGAAACTTCCTTAACTGCTGTGTCTCAGCTCATCTGTTCTCCACACAATCTCACCATTATCGGTGCAAAATTCTCTTTCGTCTGCAGTTCCGGCCTTCGTGCATCTTTCTGCCTCATCAATTAACCATCTGATTTCAAATCTCAGATGAAAACTTCATTTTTGTCTATTTAATGCTTAAGGCATTTTGGGAAACAGTTTGTACAGAAGATACTACAGATGATAAAATTGTATTTTATATAAGTATTTGACCAGAGATGAGATTAAGTTCTTCCTTTGAGAATATTATAAACAGATTGTTCTTTGAAGACAGTTATGAAAGACTTCCATATAGCAATCAAGAACAACATTGAGATTGGAGGTACAAAATTTAATGCAAAATAAAGTGGCTTAAATCAAGAGAAATGAGTTATAAGAAATACTGGAAATAATTCCAGTATGAGTCCTTTGAGAATTCCATAGGAAGATTCAAATCCTTTTGGCAGTTTCTGTATTTCAAACAGATGAATGAAAAATTCTGGATGCAAAATTTGAGCCAACACTGGAAAGTGCCTAGAATATTTGGAATCCAAGGCCACAATTTATAATTACAGTAAAGAGGCTGATAATGGCGATGTAGCAAATTTGCTATCAGATTGCTCTTCCATACTTCTCTTTGACCTCCTGGCTGACAAAGAATCATCTAATTTAATTTTCAAAATATGGCTCCTTTCAATAAAAGGATATTCTCTAACAGGTTTTTTAGCTCCATCTTTACATTTGATAAGAGAATGAATTTTTCTGTTGGAAAAGAGGTGGCATTTTATTCCACAATGTCTTTTCAAGATTCTGATGGTGCTCAAGGATTCTAAAAGCAACAGGAAGTTGAAGAGGAGCTGCTCACTAAACTTTCTGATAAGACACTTAGTCTTAAATTCTTAGTTCAGAGTTTATTTTTTGGTGACTTTCACTGGACAATTTCCAACATCCTTCACTCCTGACCTATTCTGTGAATATATTTTGCTCTCTTTAGGATATTCCATTATGAACTTACTTCTGTGAGCATTGAATTACTATCTAATAAAATTAAGATTCTTGTCCTGAAATAAGATTTACTGTGCACCTTTCACTTCCCCTCTTCCTTTGTGTTTCACCATGAACTGGAGTCCTTCTTGAGGTTTTTCCTTCTAGAACTGCATTAGAAAATCATCAGAATTCAGTTACTCTGTTGTTTGCATGTCTCTTTTAAAAACAAAAACATGTTTATTCACCATTCATGAAAAAACACATTTGTCAGCTGGAAAAGTGTCACACAGGACAGAAATGGAAATAGACCCAACTTCTTGCTGACTTTGAGCTTCTTGACTTTCTCTGAATGATGAACATTGAGGACTTGATTCAGCCCTAGCATATGCCAGTTTCTAAAGCAATCCAAGGCACAAAGTCCACAGTAGCAGAATCTGCTTAGAAAGGTAACAAACTGATCAATGCAGTCCTAAGAGGATGAGTAAAGAGGAATGAAGCCAGGAAATAAGTTGTTTCAGCATATCCCTTGAGCTGACTCCATTAGTGGGGCTTCTCCAGAGCTCAGACACATTAATTACCCCTTCCTCTGGCAGAACCCCCCAGCAAAGATAATCAAGTAGTGAGATGAACAGAGTCAGTAAAGGCTGTGTCCCCAAAACTCTCAAAAGCCAGAAGTAACACCAGCTGCAGGTACCGCAAACTCTGATTATATTTCTCTCTCTCTTCCCCAGTTCTCCCTCTTGATTTCATCTGTGATATTGCACTAAGACTTGGTTTAGGGAAGTCAATTTTAGCCCAGAACTGGGAATGGCATGATCCATTTTAAATATCAAATTTGTTCAGTGATTTGTGAGGAGTAATCATTTTGAAGGAACCAATGTACATTTTGACAGGGCTATTTTTTATGCACAGAGAAGTTGTCAGTTTTACCTTAGTGATGTGTGTGGTTGTAGTTGTAGAAACTGATTCAGATGTTATAGTCTGTGCACTCAACAGCACACCAGCATCACCACCTGCGCTGCCATCAAACTGTAGACAGTTGGGAAAAAAAAAAAGTGCATTTTCATGCCTAAGGATTTAAAACTTGTGGCTTAACAAAACACAGTTAATGCAACATTCACTACTAATACCTACATAATTCTCCTTTAGTTCAAGTGGAAGAGTGCTTTTGGAACAGAAACGTCTCTGTTCTGTACCCCATGCTGCCGGCATGGTTTTGCTGGCAAACAGAATGACCATATGAAGACAAACACATATTTGATACACATTAGACGACTCTAGAATAAAAGCTAACTGTTTTGCTGAATCGCATCAACCATTTTAACATGTTCTTTGTGGACAAAATTATAATCAAAGTTACTCTTCCCTTTGCGGAGCTCAGAGGTGAGTTAAGTCAGATCTCTGAACCTATACATTTTTAGACAACCAGATCCTATTCTATTTGATTTTTTTTTAAAAAAACCAAACCTTTAATGTTAGAATGATACTTACTCTTCTGTCTACTTAGAGTCATTTTAAAATTGTTCCATGCTAACAAAATAATCAGTGCCACTATAGGGAAGTGTTGATTTGTTAAAAAATAACATTAATATGTTACCATATCTCTTAAATTTGGAGTTAATCATAAAGGCCAACTTGTAAACAGCATTATAAATGATATTCCAAATCACATGGCTCCTGTACCTGTGGAGATTCATATGTGATAGTTTTGGTCTCTGTTTGAACAATTGGGACTTCCTTGGTGGAGATTTCTGTTCTCTGTGTGGCATCTGAAATGGTCACCATCTCGGTCTTTACTACCGGAGGCTGTGGTGGAAGAGATAGGATAAAATCAATCCAAGGGACATAAAACAAAGATTTGCATAGTGGGCTAAAATGAAATAGAACAAAAACACAAAATACAGTAGTGATAGAATATATATTAAGAATGTCTCCCACATACACACACAAAAACCACTATGAGAAAAATAAAGAAGATGAAACAAATAGCACACCAGCCCATCAATACCCGCTCTACAAGAATCAGAGGAGATCTAAGTTTCATGTCTTAGCCAGTAGCAGACACTGAAACCAGATTATCATCACTTCAATACTTCTTCAGATGTCTATTAAAAAATGTGTGAAGGACCATCAGTGGGAGAATCTTAGTTCAGCTACAGTTTCTTCCATCAGAAGAATGTTGCCAGTGTTACATAAAATAAGCCTTGCATTAAAAATGGAGAATGAAGTCACTACAATATTTGACACATCTCTAACAGTGGATAAAAACTTGCAATATTTTCTAAGCATTTCTAAAGTTTAATTTTATTTTTTAATGTAAGCAACTTCTGGAGTAGACAAAACTACTGTCTATGGATTTTAAATAGCATATAGCTAAACTACAGGTCTAGAATCAGGTTTAGGTACCAACTATTTTCCTCTGAAAGCAAACTTTAAAAAGCCATTTTAGCCCTTGTAGTAGTTGATATTTTTTCAGTTGCATTCTCTGCTTGGGAACCAAAAAGCAATGAAACTAGAACTCTGCAAGTCAGTAGAAACTAAAATGGTCTTAGACATGATGGACCAGATTAGACATCTAGTCAGATTTTCAAAAGAACCTAGATTCCTAACTCTCATTGAAATCAATGGGAGTTAGGCACCAAGCTGCTTCTGAAAATCCCACTAAGCATCTATGTGCATCTTTAAGTGCCTTAATACCCTTAAAGATCTGGCCTGTTTTTCTTAGATTCTTAGAAAGCATGTGTGGAGCCCAACATAACCTTGGAGAAGCTAGTTTACTCACGTTCTCAACCACAGGAACAATTGTGGCTATTCACATAAAAGAGGAAATTAAGGTGGTCTGGTCTTCAACTGGAGCCGAGTACAATGAGGAAAAACCTTAAATGACTGAAGGGTGACACCACAAAAAGAATTCTCCAGTGGCCAAAGCTTCACAGAGTTTACCATCTGTACATGGTCCTCTACATTCCACTTTACTCCTCCTTCCTCAAAGGTCCATCTAATGATTAACCCTATTAAACTTGTTTCTGTGCTAAAACAGATGGCCATAATTCCTTCTGGAACCAATTCATGCTTCCACTGGTACTAGAGGAGGCTGCTATAAAGCAACGATAGATGTGCCATCCCCTTACTGCCTAACCTGCCTTAACTGTAGGTGCTCTTACCACTCCCAGCAATTTGTATCAATATAGATTCCAGGCACTGCTTTCATAATAAAAAGATTTAGAGAAAGAAAAATCTGTGCATAGTAAGAAAAAAAAAACCTGAAAAAAGCTGTGAAAAATTGTTTTTAGCATTTATAATTTAAATAACTTTCCAACTACACCTACGAGTCATGGGTGTGTCAAAAACAGCCAACAAAACAGACAAGACAAGACAAGACATTCAAATAAAAGTAAAAATTATGTAATAAGGAAAAAAGGAGATGGTACAGCCATAGAAAGGTTTGCTTTACTGGGCAATTCCTATTCATTCCAGCAAAAAGCTAGAAAACATGACTGAAGTAGGCAGAGTTTCACTGCTCATCAGTGGTATCCCCCTTCCATAAGATTTGAATCTTGGTGAACACCTGAAGAGCTGGGAGAACAGGAGAAGAAGAAAGGCAGGTATATTTCCACCCCAAGGAACATAACATCTCTATATAATCTAGTTCTCAAGCTGTGCTACCATTTACCTCAGAACAACAAATTATTTTTGGCACAACATCAATGTCAACATGAGACACATCTCCGTTTATTCTGAGCTGTTCTTCCTCATCTTCTGCTCTCAGGTCTTGCTTCCCCTCTTCCATTACATTCGTCTCTGCAGTTTTAATGGCAACTACATTTTCCTGGGCCAAAGCCTTTGCTGTAACTTGCGTGTGCTCAACTGTTACTTTACTGCCTTCTTGTACAGTTTCCACACTCTGTATTATTTTTGTTGCACACTCCTCCATTCTTTTGGCATCTTCATTTTCTTCTTGTTCTTCCCTTATGGTGTCCTCAGCCGCCCTGTGATGGGGCTGATACTCTCCCACCACTTCATCCTCACTCTCACTACTGCTGCTGCTGCTGCTGCTATCTGATGACAATGAAGAAGAGTCCTTTTTTGACACATGTTCCACCTTACGGGTCTCCCCAGCATCAGTGACAGCTTGCATTTTCCCTCTGTTGATTTCGTCTATGACTACAGTCTCTTCTATCCCCACCTCTGCCTGTTTCTTCTCTTCCACTACGTTCAGAGTCTCATGTGAACTCTGCACAAAAAACATGGATGAAGAAAAACAAAAGTACAGTGTATGAATAAATCAAAATGATGAAAACAAAATGAACTGATGGCTGGTTCATGTCATGTAGAGAACAATAGTGACTGTGATGGTTAACTGAAAAAAGGAAAGAAAGAATGAAGGTGGATCAGAAATGTCAGACCCGAGTTAACTATGGAAAAATCAGTAGAACCTTATCAGCATCGCTGGCTCCAGTGCAAGGCCCTTCTGCTCTGGAAGGAAGTTTCTGTGAAACAAAAAGCAACCAGAGGACACAAATCAATACGTGTTTTAAACACCAGATGACACACACATTTAACATCTCGTAGACAAAACATGCAGACACTCTTTCATTAACTCTTATTGACGACACAGTACTGTCTGCCTAAAAAGAGTTTTAAAATGTATGCATTCTGAAAACTCTGTGGGTATAACTGTTCGATTCAAGAGCCATACAGAATTTACAGTTGTTTGTTTTCTACAAGCAATTCTTTAATCTAGTTTGTAAAATACCTATTTAAGGGTTTGGATACTATTGGAATCATGCAAGATCTTTACCAAAAAGATTTGGAACAGAAGCATAAACATCAGCCAAGGCTGCTTCCTACTGCGGCAATCAATTATTTACTGCAAAAATAGTTAAATCAGTCATCAAGCAAAACTTACAAAGAAAAAAAGTCTTCACACACTATTCCAACGTCAGTTTTTCTCTCTCTCTCTCACACACACACACACACACACACACACACACACACACACCCCTTGCATTTATAAATGTTTTGATGACTGGACTTTATTTGGTCTGTTGCTTTGGAATTTGGCAGATCCTTTCAATAATTTTATAAATTGCAATAGAATATTACGAGAACTTTTAAAATACTCTGATGTGAGAATGTCAAAGGGACCATGTTTCAAGATTACCAAGAAGACCCTATTAAAATCTCATTTGGATAACCCAAAATGCGAGATTAAAGAAATTCTATTAGCATTTGTGCCATAACAAAACAATTTGTGATGGGTATGCATGTATTGTCATACTATGTGAAAAGAATTATCAGATTTAAATAGCCATGAAAATTAAACAAAAAAAATACACTAAAGCAATGTTCAGGATCAAATGCACAAAAGCAAAAATATCATTAAAACCAGCACACCATCTGTGACTTAATCCTGTTTTGTTTACCAAGTGCAGTATGTACAGGGCCTGATCCAGCTCTCCCGGGGAATCAAAAATGGGAGTCAAGTGATATTTTACAAATGGAAAGAATAGAGGATTATGCCTCTAGTTTACCAAGTGATACTCCCTCACCCTAATAGAAGTTAAGATTTGCTGAACTGCTTTGACACAATGGGATTGAATAAAAGGTTACCTTCGTGCAGATTTTTGGTTTTGTGGGTCTATGTCTAAATTTTAACATTAAACTTAACCTAGTTTTTATTTGTGGTTAATCTATTTCTCCTCTATATTTATTGTCTTTTATATAAAATATATAATATACATATTTTCTTAGGGACACGTGGCATCAAATAGGGCATCCCGTTTAATTACTAGATGATAAAAATGTATGCATCAAATTTTATCTGACATGTTAGTGAATATCCATTTCTGTATATGTTGACATTATCGCAGGGAAATAAAGCAAAAAAGCACCTCAGGCAGTTGTAAGAAGGGTGAGGCAGAAAGCATTTCAGAAGGTACATTATCTTTCACAACAGTGCCCTCTGCTGTCCATGCGGTGGATGAAGTGAAGGTAGATTTCATGCTAGTGGAAAAGCCCTCTTTACTAAATAAAATTGACGTTATTTCCTCTTCTAGGCTCTAGACAAGTTATAAAATGGAAAGCAAAGAATTAAAATAGTGGGAGACACAACAGCAATGATCTACAGAAGAAAGGAGAGGTTAGGCAAGAAAGAAAACAAATAGAACACACAGAAGGATTTGCTTCTGAAATAATTCTACAAGATCAAAGGAAAAACTAAAATGTGTCCCTTAAAAGGAAAAATATGACAATATGACAAGATTTAATGATAAAAACTTGCGGTGTACCAAAGAAACGACAATATTTAGCCGTGATAGAATATGATATATCCCCACTTCAGTTACTCTTACACATTTCAGATTGTAAATATATATATAAAAAACATAAAAGGAAGGATTAACAAAACCTTCCCATAACTGTCAGAACAGGACTAGTTTTCTTTTAGACTGAATTTCAGATTCAATATTAGGAATATTTTTAAATTCATTCTTAATACCTTCCCTGTTTCCCCTTGGGGCATTAGCCCTGAACACAGGACTTGGCATAACCGCAGATTTCTACTTTTGATGGTTATTTAAAGAGATTTTGTTCACCTTAACTTCAAAAGGCTGTTTTTAAAAACAAATACTTTAATCAGGAATCAAATGTGTACTTACTCAAGAATTCAGCATTAAAAATTTTAGAGCTGCTCCCATCTATTGGGCAAATACATATTTATCCAAATACTTCTTTTAAAGTACTAAGGATATTTATAGAATACCTATAGTTCTTGCCACATAATTCTACAAATCTGTATTTCGATATATAGTTCACTATTTTTATTATATATCTGAAAAATATTACAATGTCTACATAGCAGCAGTCTTTTAAAGCTGAATCTCTCACTTGTTTCAGTTCCCTCTCCCAATAAAATACCCCATGATGTTATATCCTATTAAAAGCTATATTTTATTTTTAAAATGCGAGTTTGTGCTGTATAAGATTGAGAACATAAAAACAGTACAATAATTAATATTTTGATACTGGTGCAACTTAGCAGCTGAATAAATTTGGTATTTATTGACTACAGCAAATTTCTTTCTAGCTTAGGATCTTGTATGCCGCAAGATCAACCCAAAGTACACTTTAGGACAAAGTTGTATTTTAAGCAAATATTTTATTAACAAACTGTGGACACAAAGAACTTGTGTTATAGACTCTGAACACTTGTTCAGTAGACTGTGTTGTTGCATATACTACATATATGGCAAGTGGGAGAAAGGAAAAAAGAGGAAGAAAGACTCCTATATACATTCTATAGTAAAATTACAGCATATTTTCAAGTTAGTCAAGGCAAATTTGGATGGGAGTTGATTAATTTTACCCCAATATCGTGTTTGACATTCATAGGAGATAACTACTTTTTTTCTTTTTTGTGGCTACTTTAGACAAAAGTTCATATACACAACCAGAGACCTTCAGAACTTTTGACTTCAGCCTGTGTGCAGACAAGGTTAATCCCTAAACTGTATTCCTACAGCATGCTGTTATTTCAGTAAATCAGAGTTGACAAACACACTCCGGCTGTAGTTTTGTATGTGTACACAAATACGCACACCATTTGTTTGCAGTTTACTACCACCAATTTTTTAGCCCTTCTAACCTTTGTGGTTGTATGTGCCTGTCTACACAGCAAAGCTGTATATGGGCTAACCTACCCGAGCAACCTTGAATCCAACTAACAATAATAGTAAAAACAGTGCAGCGCATGCTTCAACGCAGGCTAGAGAGCTAAATATGTGCCCAGGGTCTGTGCCAGGCTTGTACCAACTGTGCGCAGACCCACATTGTGTATACTGTTATTACTGTGCTAGCTATATTCAAGCAAGCTTGAGTAGGCTAGCCCATGCACAGCTTTGGCTGTGTAGACATATTTTATGAGAGCAAGTAGATTGGCATTAGTGTCAGAACTGATGTTTTCTCTACTGTGACCAGTTGGCAAGTGAGAAGGTTGGCAGACTTTTACTATTATCAATGTATACCTAAAATTGGAAGCCTTCATCAAAATATAAAAACTGTACAACAGTTATCCACTGTAGATACTCTGTGTTAGCATCAAATAATCCTTTGGGTTAAGTGTACAAAACAAACCAATATGAATTTTATTTTATTTTATTTTTTGGTTAAAAAGGGGAGCGACTGTGATGGTACTGGACATTCAAGACATAAGAGGGTTATAACCATAGTTTTCCTTCATAAATATTAAGTCACAGATGTTGTGCAATCAAAAGGATGGTGGTACAAATAGTGTTAACCAAATGTAAAATTTCTCTCACGCATAGAGAATACAGTTAATTAGCGTGTACTTTCAATGGAGCAATGGGGAGAGGAAGTAGGTCCCAATAAGGAAAATGGCAGTGCTCTACTTAAGACATAAAGGTATATACACACATGCTTAATGCCATTTTGCAAAATTGCTATGGAAGTGTTTCATATCTGGAACAAGATTTAGCAATCTACTGGCCAACCTAATACCATATGGATGATAAAACAGAAGGGGGCATGGTGTGGTGGAAATGAATATTTTATTCCTCCATAAAAAAGGCAGTACTATTTTCTTATTTTAGGGCTCAAAGCAGGTGCCATTATTATTAGAAGGCTAGAAAGTTTCCTATCCCCACTCCCTGCTTGACAATTGGCAACACAGCAAAATATTTTATGCATTGTGTGTTACTGAAACAAGGCATTTGTTCTTTGTTTTCAATCGGATTCCAAATGTATAGTTGAAAACAAGTCAAAGGTGATCTGATTAGTAGTAGCATGGCAATTGCTACTTCATAGTAATAAATAATACTTAGCTATTGTATAGCACTTTTCATCAATAGATCTCAATGCACTTAAAGGAAGAATCATTTTTCTCATTTTACATATGGGCAAACAGGCAGAGAGGTGAACACACATTTAAATCTAAGGGAGTATTCAGAATGAACCTATTTCTCCAGCATTATTGATTTGCAGAACAGCTGCAGTGGTCACAGAACTGTGATTTATTCCCTGTAGAATTACAGAAAGTGCATTTTGGTATGGAAATGCATGTTTCTCTGTTACCCTAAACGAATAAAGATACCACAATGTTTTCAGTGATAAGAAAATCAGTGTATTATATTGTTGCCTTTTAAAAAAGTATTATTTAGAACTTCAAAGCCAGTTTGATAGCAGAGATCGGCACCTTTGTTTAACCAACACTGATTTATATGGAGATCTTAAATATCATCTCAAAGTTCGGTTTTTTATTGGTTTAAACACATTTTTTAAAAAGTGATCTAGTTAACTCAGGTAATACAACAAAGCTTTCAAAAAATCCGCCAAAGGTTTGAAGGTAGCCACCTGGATAGTTTCTTCTGTTTTTGCCTCAGTAATCCATGTCACTGCAGTCCATTGCTTCTCCTTCACAGGAGGTTTTTTCCTTTGGAAAATGTGGTCTCCTTTTTTCTATTAAGTTTTTGGAAGTTTTTGGTTTTATAAAACCAACATAAATCAACAAATAATGAGACGGACGTACATCATCATACAAAACATGAAAACAAATTGTCCTGAAAGCAGCACAAGCATTACAGGTAGCAGGAATATGCAGATAGAGGAACATGTAATACCTGTATTTACCTCCTCCTTAATATAAATTAATTTGACACAAAAACACATACATACACACACAAACACACAAAATAAAATAAGCCACTCTGATATATTATATGTAGTCCCTTTTATATTGGAGCAAGTATATTTATCAGCAAAATACTGACAATAAATCCATCCACATTTCTCGAATATCATAAAGGAGGCTGTAATTTTTGTTTACAAGTATATTGTGATGTTGCAAAGTCTGAGTAACCATATCCTGGCAGTGACATGTAGGCCAACAACTTAAAAAATTAAGTTAAGCAGTCTGCTAATGATCTGTTGGAGATTTTTTTCAAGTGAGCAACCAAGGACCCAATTCAGCAAGATATTTAAGCATATGAGTAGTCCATTGATTTTACCGGGACTTCTCATGTGCTTAAAGTTAAAAATGCTTAGTACCTTGCTGAGTTGGGGCCTTAATATGAAAAAAAAATCATTTGACAGTATTTAGCAAATGTAATCTGCGGGAATTTTAAAAAGTTCCCATATCTTGTAGTCTCAAGAACCATTAATTTTTCTGGAGCAATAATCAGGACAGCACACTCACTTAGAGGGAAAATGAGGTCAGGTCCAGAGACAGATTGATAGATGCTTGTGAGCAACTATTTAGTCTTTATAAAATCAGAAGCCGATTTAAAGTGTTGTAAAATCATTAAGCATTTTTGAACCATAACAACAACTTGTGTGTTTAGTTCTCTGACCAAAAACATGTAGTAGTTTTTGGAAACAATGCTTTCTAAATTGCTAGTTCAAGGTGCTGTCTATCAAGAGACATGAAAACCTTCTCAATCTTTTTTTATAGTTTTATAAAAAAAAAAAGTTAGCCATAAGCCCGAGTGGTCTTAAAAAGTGAATACAGCTTAACAGCTATGCCATACTACTGCCTGAAAAACACTTGACATTATCAAATATTTTATCATGTATGTTCTGACTGAACCAAGTTTAAACATGAGCTTGAGAGCGGTTTACATGTAACTGCCTAAGCAGAGTTAAAGATGGAAACTTTTTTCTCACAATTTTACAGCCGCTGTAAAACCAATTTGTAAGAACAGCAGTCCTAAACCAGAATAAAGCCCAATCCTTGTTTCAACTGCTTTGTTCTGAGTTACTCTCTCATACTGAAACTCAAACAAGTTATTTAAAGACTGGACCAAAAGTAAGTAACAAAATGTTAATGGGTATTTAGTATAAAGAAAAACGTTACAGTCAAACAAAAGAAAATGTTAATATAGGAGGGCAATTTACATTTATTATATTTTCTAAACAGTTGTACGGAAATGCATGCTGACAAGTGTCTGCAATGACATACCCCTTGTGTCTGTAGAGACAGAGGTGTGATACGCCGCTTTTCCCATTCATTGGGGCGTGGCTCAGGTGTGGATTCCATGAAATTGCGCTTGAGTTCACTAATGCTAGCCTGATGTTTCAGTAAGTCGTCCTGGGTCTTATCCAGGTCCTAGCAATGTGCAATGTAAAAAACAGTAGGACAAAACACAACAGCAAAAGCAAACTTATTCTTAAAAAAGTCAAAGCAAGAAAAGTGCCTTGTCTCAAGAGCCATTCTACTGTGGTACATTTTTAAAAAAAGATTAAGACCATAAAAGACTCAGATTTGTATTACCTTTTAGGAACAAGGCCACACTATACTGTTCCTGTCACAACTATATGTACAGGGGGAAAAAAAACTACTTTTAATTATCACTAAACAAAGGACTATTTTTATCTCAATATGAAGATACCAAATTTTTGAAATAATTATTTCAAAAAGTTGCTGGCTTTTGCTTGAAAGTTAAAGAAACTGAAGCAAGAATACCAAGATCAACATAGGTAACCCTCAATAATGCTAATGGAAGTAAATAGCGCTCAACACAAGAACTGTCATAAACATGTAAGTATGTTTCTTAAGAAACTAAGCCAAAAATAAAGGACTTACAAATATGGATACTGTATTAAGTCCAAATCATGCAAATAGATATATGCATATGCTTCAGCTTTACACACATGAGTAGTCCCATTAAAGGCAATGCTACCCATTGCTTATAATTATGTGCAGGATCAGGGTTTAAGATTGCTATTAACCTGTTGTGTGTTGAAGCAATGGCAGATAGAACAACCATGTAGAGATAGCCTGTATACATCTACATACCAAAAAAGGGGGTCTGAGCTAGCCCATGCAGACTAGCACAGGAGGTGACAATAAGCGCTAAGTAAGTAACAGATTCTATTTTTACAAGGATCCATTGACCCTAACATTGTGCAACTTGGATCAAAGGGCTATAACTGCTCTTCCAGGCTACAAGGTGGAGGAACAGGCCTGGGGATTGGGACTATGCAGCAACCTCCTCATTAGCCCTGGTTTGGGAAGTAGAGTTCAACTCCCCAACATTTCTGAAACTTCACTTGCGTATAACCTAAACACTTGGGCTTTATGCAGGAGGAGCAAATTACATACAGCAAGCATAATCTTTCATGTCATACCATTCCTCATCTTGTGAAAGAAAACTACTTTGTGTATGCAAACACAGACATCGGAGTAGTTGACTTTACAAGTTCAACAGCCAGCAATTAAGTTTAGAATTGAGACCCAAAAATAAGTGTACTATGAAATCAAAGTACCTACAGTAACTAAGAAAAGTATTTGGACTTTTGATAATATTTAATAATGTAGGCCCAAGATTTAGTTTTCATAAAAAAGGTGTTATGTAGCTACTTAAAAAACATGTATCTGAATTTTTACTAAAACATTTTGGCTAGGATTTAAAAAAGTGTTCCTCTGCAATATCAGAGGGGTAGCCGTGTTAGTTCTGTATCCACAAAAACAACAAGGAATCTGGTAGCACCTTAAAGACTAACAGATTTATTTGGGCTTAAGCTTTCATGCGTAAAAAACCCCACTTCTTCAGATGCATGGAGTGAAAATTACAGAGACTGGCATAAATATATATTGGCACATAAAGAGAAGGGAGTTACCACTTTTTCTGTAATTGTCACTCCATGCATCTGAAGAAGTGGGTTTTTTACCCACAAAAGCTTTTGCCCAAATAAATCTGTTAGTCTTTAAGGTGCCACTGGACTCCTCGTTGTACCTCTGCAGTGTTTACAACACAAATAACAGAACTGTACTAGTGCATGAAAATCAGAAAGTGATACTGACTAATCAGCTTCTACTTTGTTTCAGTGTCAATTCTGAAGTAAACCTGTAAAAAATAAATTTGATATTAAAAATTTAGGCCTGGGTCCTGGATGCATCTATTTCAAGATTTTTTAAAAAGCTGTTTGGTTTAAACAAAAAGAAGTTTTCTTAATTATTGGTGGAATATAAAAAACACAGGTTATACCACAGCAATTCCATAGAACGGCAGTGATATTAAACTGAAGCCAATGACATATTTTTACGGGTTGTTGTAAACAATTATTGTGGCTTGAGAAACTAGGCACATTTCTTGGACTTGTTCAAAGCAAGGTTATGAAGAACATGCTTTCGTTGTTTTAGTAAATTATGCAAAAATAAATTTTGAACAGTTATCAAAAGCTGCCAAAAGCAACAACAGATTAGTCAAGTTACTGTAATCTACAAATCTTCATATTACTGTATGAATACTACAGTCATTAAATAAGAGATAAGCTCTTTCGTGACAGAGGGAATTCCCGATAGCCCCATTTGGATGGGCAAGGCTAAATAGACATAGGATAGGATTTTTCTATATATTTTGTGCAAGTTTTGTTAGTTTACTTTCAGTTATTCATTACCATACAAACTATACTGACTGCAACAAGAAGTACTCCCATAATATATTCCAGCATGAATGAACTGTACAAACTAATTATTTATTAAAACAAAATGTCTCTACTCCAATAATAAATAATAACCATACTTAAATAGTGCTCCAAATTCAAAGCCATTTACAAACATTAATCCTCACTAATAATTAATTCTTTAGAAAATAAGAATTATTCACATTTCAAAAAATGGGAATACTAAAACAGGATTTGCCTAAAGCCACACAGCGGGTCACTGGCAGAGCCAGGATTAGAAATTCAAGATTATGGGACTTCCCTCATTGTGAATAAATTTGTAACAGCGAGGGTTGTTAAGCATTGGAACATTTTTCCCTGGGTTGTGGTGGATTCTCTATCACAGACAATTTTTAAATCAAGATCAAATATTTTTCTAAAAGATATGATCTAGGAATTATGTTGGAGAAGTTGGTTCCATGGCAGATCTTATACAGGAGGTCAGACTAGTTGATCACAATGGTCCCACCTGCCCTTGGAATCTACGAATCTATGCTTATTCCTCCAGAGCACACCAGCTCACATTTCAAGTACACATGTGTCAGAAAAGAAAATGAAAAATATTAAGTGAGAGCCTTAAACTACAGCCTACATGAGGTACACATTAAGTAGTAGGTTTGTGTGGCAAGTAAAAATCCCATTTTAGGGTAATTAATGGACCAGTGAATTTGATTTATTACCTAAACAGGGCTATTATTCCCAATTGCCACTTTGAAAACTTCTAGCAGATTCACACTTACAAGCTGTTCCTTTATGGAAAAACTAGAATTTACAACATGCATCTCCAAGTTGCATTTCCCCATGCATTTCATGCACTGTGTTCATAACAGCCTGCAGGTGACCTCCCATCCCATGCAGCCTGGCAGCCCATGAGAACAGAAAGTGTTCCTTATGTTATACAAACCTCCAACATTAAATTGCTATGTCTGACATAAATATTTTCCCCGTTTACTCTCAAGGAATTGTTCTGTGAAATTAAACCACACACACAAGAAAGCAAAATGAACATAAAATGTATCAGCAAGTAACCAAAAAGGACCCTCAGATCGATAACAGAGTTTAAAAAATAAACAGGGGGATAAATGGTAAGAACAAAAGCCACTATTCAGACAAAACCTACAGAAGCTTCAAAACACTAACAATGGCAGGCAACAATAACCAGATTTAACTGAAAAATAGCATCAACCTGCTGCTGCGTTTCCTCCTCTCCGGTTTCCACCTACACGAAGGCACATGGCAAATCATCAAAAGAAAGGAGTTGTTAGTGTGATCTATGGGAGCAACAGAGAGGCTTCCTTTGTTTGTAAAAGCTGCAAACCATGTGCTTTGTTTATATACCTTTATTGTTTCGGCCACAGACGCTGCTGAAATTATTAAGCCACTTTGGTCTTCCTCCACCTACAGTGTTGTAGAAATGGCTGAAGTAATATTTGGCATATATGAAATGGAAAATGGAAGTTTCTCTCTCTCTCCCCCCATCTCTCTGTTGCTGCATTTTTCATGCTTTCCCCATTGAAGGGTGGAAAATTAAGACAGAGGAGAAGGAGAAAAGCCATATTGCCCCAAAGCTTGATGTCAAATTCAATTACGGAGATACTTTATAAAAGCATTTAAAGTGGAGTTTATACTATGAATTGGTTTTGGTAAAATGGCAAATGATTACTGTAAATGCCTGATACTGTGTGGGATACATGAAGATTTTTGCTTTTGTTAATGCAAAATATGAGATAACTTAAAAAAAATTACACCCTGCTTATAAATATTCTGAATGCAACTTTAAGGAGAGAAAATATTTTTTGACAATACCCTGAGGCACAAATATCAATTGCCAGGTTTTCAGAGGATCACTGTGCAAGATCATAAGTATTGATAAGTGGTTTACTTTTATTACATATATTGCTTAATTCCAAACTTTGTGTGAGGGAATACATAACATCGTATGTCATTTTTTCTTAGTTTATCACATTTTCCTTCACCTCTCACTTATTTGAGGTTAGTGCATTTGTTGCAATTTCACATCAAAAGGTATGTTGAACTATATTATGGATGGAGAAAATCTTTAGTGATGTTTATTTACACCATTTTAGACTTCCTTTACGATATGTATGTCTTTTACAGATGTCATGTCACATATCTAAGAGAAAGTACTCTGCTATATACAACACTGTCTCAGACAGTTATTTCTGAATTACTACAAAATTTGAAATAAATACTGGACTCACTCATTTCAAGGCTCTCAGTTATAAGGCTATAGTATTTTGCTTCATATTGCCATTGAAGTTCATAGTAAACTCTCCCCTTTTACAATGCATGGTGTATTTGCTATCACATGCAGCAGCCATATGGAGAGCAGGCACTGTATTATCAGCCAGATCAGATGTTCAGAGTGCACACACTTAATGAGACTGATGCTTTTGCATAGCAACTTTAAAACTACATACTTTAACATTTTTAAAATGTTCACATGTTGATGATTAAAAAGTCAGCTACTTAACCGGCAATCCAGTTGTATAAAAGAAACTAGTCTTCACCTTAACTATTGCTAAATATAAATAAAAACACTAAAAGCCAGGGAGAACCTTGGACAGACACTCAACTTTGCACACACCCATGTAAAGCAGAAACAGCCATAATTCTAGTGCCCTCTTTGAAGGCATGAATTACAAAAAAAGGAAATGTTACTCACCCTGTGCAGTAACTGTAGTTCTTTGAGATGTGTCCCCATATGGGTGCTCCATTTCAGGTGCTCACGTGCCTCAAGCCCTTGATCGGTGATTTTTAGCTAGCAGTGTCCGTTTAGCTCGTGTGCATGCCCTGTGCCTTCTCATGGCAGACACTGAGGCTATATAGAGGTGTGGAGGCAAAATGCCCTCAGCTCCTCCTCTACGGAACAACCAAAGCAGAGGGGAACGAGGGTGAGTAATGGAGCACCCATAGGACATCTTAACACTGTAAGAACTACAGTTCCTGCACAGGATGAGTAATGTTTTCTTCTTCTTTGAGTAGTGTCCCTATAAGTGCTCCACTTCAGACGACTTCTGAGCAGTATCCCTAGGAGGGCGGCTTTGGACCATGGCTCAGAACTGAAAAACAATACTGCATCCTCCTTACCAGAGAATGTCGTGAACCTCCTTTCTAGAGGATGTTATGAAGGCCAAGACTATAACAGGGTTAAAAAAAGAACTGGATAAGTTCATGGAGGATAGGTCCATCAATGACTATTAGCCAGGATGGGCAGGGATGATGCCCCTAGCCTCTGTTTGCCAGAAGCTGGGAATGGGCGACAGCAGTTGGATCACTTGACGATTACCTCTTCTGTTTGTTCCCTCTGGGGCACCTGGCATTGACCATTGTTGGAAAACAGGATACTGGGCTAGATGGACTTTTGGTCTGACCCAGTATGGCTGTTCTTATGTGTCGCATTGGATCTGAGGGCATGGAGCAGGGCATAATGCTTTGAAAAACCTATGGATTGAAGTTCATGTAGCGGCTCTACAAATCTCATATACTGGGATATTCTTCAAAAATGGAGTAGATGTTGCCTGCAATCTCGCTGAATGCACTCTCACCCCGTGCGGGGGGAGGCCGCGGTGGGAGGGGCCGAGTACCTGAAAATTCATAACAGCCAGAGATACAACCCAATATCCATTTTGAAAGCCTGTAAGCAGAAATAGGAGCCCACTTAGACCGATCTGAGAAGGATATGAAGAGTCTAGGTGATCTCATAAACTGCTTAGTCATCCCTAGGTAGAAGGCCAAGGCCTTTCTAATTCCAGGGTATGGAAATAGGATTCCTGTTGAGAATTATGAGATTTTGGAAAAAACACTGGTAGATGTATATATTGGTTAAGATGACAGACAATCTGATGCAACTTTTGGGAGGAACTTAGGATGCGGATGTAAATACATCTTATTAAAAAAAAACCATGATAAAGGGGGTATGCCATCAAGGCTTGTTGATGTAAAACATGCAGGACATGTCCATCATGACCCTGATCGTTTTTGCCTCTGATGATGGCAGGAAATGGAGACAAGTGTTCCTGACCACCCTGAGCTTCAACAGGTTGATGTGGAGACTGGTTTCATGGTCTGTCCACCTACCCTGAACTGTGAGGTTGGCTCCCCAACAGGAATCCTAAAATGGATGAACTGTAAAAAGCAACAGAGGGTCCTGTGGCACCTTTAAGACTAACAGAAGTATTGGAGCATAAGCTTTCGTGGGTGAATGCCCACTTCATCAGACGCAAGTAATGGAAATTTCCAGAGGCAGGTATAAATCAGTATGGAGATAACGAGGTTAGTTCAATCAGGGAGGATGAGGTGCTTCGCTAGCAATTGAGGTGTGAACACCAAGGGAGGAGAAACTGCTTCTGTAGTTGGATAGCCATTCACAGTCTTTGTTTAATCCTGATCTGATGGTGTCAAATTTGCAAATGAACTGGAGCTCAACAGTTTCTCTTTGGAGTCTGGTCCTGAAGTTTTTTTGCTGTAAGTTTTTTTCCTTTACATCTACTATTGTGTGGCCAGGGAGGTTGAAGTGTTCTTCTACAGGTTTTTGTATATTGCCATTCCCGATATCTGACTTGTGTCCATTTATCCTCTTGCGTAGTGACTGTCCAGTTTGGCCAATGTACATAGCAGAGGGACATTGCTGGCCATGATGGCATATATAACATTGGTGGACGTGCAGGTGAATGAGCCGGTGATGTTGTAGCTGATCTGGTTAGGTCCTGTGATGGTGTTGCTGGTGTAGATATGTGGGCAGAGTTGGCATTGAGGTTTGTTGCATGGGTTGGTTCCTGAGTTAGAGTTATGGTGCGGTGCGTGATTGCTGGTGAGCATATGCTTAAGGTTGGTGGGTTGTCTGTGGGCGAGGACTGGCCTGCCTCCCAAGGTCTGTGAAAGTGAGGGATCATTGTCCAGGATGGGTTGTAGATCACTGATGATGCGTTGGAGAGGTTTAAGCTGAAGTGATGGCCAGTGGAGTTCTGGGTCAACTGTTCTGGATGAACTGGTTCTTAGAGTCACTGATGGGGTTGGGCAACAGAAAGGGATGTCTGCACAGACATGCTCCTTCCACCAGTTTAGTGAGTTCTTTATGTGCAAGGAGATTGTTACCCTCCCGTCCAAGGTGTACCTGGTTGGAGAAGAGACAGCTCTTAGCCAATCCTGGAAGCAGTGGAAGCATAGTCTTGCATGATTGGTCATAAGGTGCAATTTGCCATATGGCCCAAGAGTTGAAGACAGTTCCTTATTGTGGTTGTGAGCTTCCCAGAATTGTCCCCGACAGTCTTGACATGGCCAGAAATCTGTCTAAAGAGCAGTGCGCTTTGGCTGTCACTGAGTCCAAGAACGCCCCTATAATCTGCATCCTTTGTACTGATACCAGTGTAGATTTCTTTACATTCACTGGTAGGCCCAACTCTTTGAACAGAGCAAGCACCTTCTGGGTGGACGATAACACTGCCTTGAAAGAATGGCCCTTGAGTAGCCAGTCATCAAGGTATGGGAGGACAAGAATCGTTTCCTGCCAAGGCTAAGCGACTACTACCACCAGAACCTTTGAAAATCCCATTGGAGATGAGGGTAGGCCTCATACTGGAAATGATCTTGGACTATGGTGAATCGTAGGTATTTCCTGTGTGACAGAGGTGACACGTGGTGGAGGAAATGGAGTATGTGGGGGTCACAACACCCCCCCCCCCGATTTGCTGCTTGCCTTGTACTGAAAATGCTCACATGGACTAAGCATGCTCAGTAGCACTGCTGAAGCTAGCTGCCTTCACTCTGCTTCCCCGCCCTCCAATCAGCAGGCATGGGTCATCTCTGCTGTGTGATGAGCGTATAGTTATATGGAAATCGGCATCTTGTCAGCCAAGGAATGAAAACCAATCCCCTTCCTCTCGTGACAAGTATCAGAGGGGTAGCCGTGTTAATCTGAATCTGTAAAAAGCAACAGAGGGTCCTGTGGCACCTTTAAGACTAACAGAAGTATTGGAGCATAAGCTTTCGTGGGTGAATGCCCACTTCATCAGACGCGTCTAGTGAAGGATTTATAGTTGCTAAAGTCACCATCCTGAACTTTTGAGGTGTCACAAACTTGTTCAGCTGTTTCAGATCTAAGATCGGCCTCCAACCTCCATCCTTCTTTGGTACTAGGAAGTATTTTGAGTAGAACTCCCTGCCCCTGTAAGTGGAAAGGACCACTTCCATTGCTCCTAGTCGGAAGACAGTCTCCACCTCTTGCCTTAGTAGAAGTTTGTGAGAGCGGCCCCTGAAGGGGGTGAAAGGGAAGAAGTGCCAGAAACTGCATGGCATAGCCTATGACCTCCAAGAGCCACTGGTGATTCACTCCAAAGCCTGGTGGAAATGGACAAGACAGTCTCCAAAGAGAAGGTTAAAGGACAACTGTAAAATCAGAGGAGCGGGAGGATTCAAACTCTCAACTCATCAAAACTACTATTTAGATGATGCTTGGGTGGTCATGAAGGGTGGTTGGATGGCTCTCTTCCTTTAAACCCGTCTCTCTTTCTGGGGAGTTCTGCAGGTCTGCGGTACCCCAAGAACTGAGCATGGCATGATGTCTGAGGAGTCTGTGCCCTCAGAAAATGTTTCTTGCTCATAAGGTATGTAAATGAGCAAGGAACATAGGGTAGCCCTGGATTTCTTCAGCATGTGCAGAGAGTCATTCGTGGTTATGAGAAAAGCTTATGAACATCAAAGGGGAGATCCTCTACAGTGTTCTGAACCTCTACCAGAAACCCTGAAAGTTCGAGTCATGATGTCCTGTGCACAGCTACTTCTATGGAGATGGATCTGGCAGCAGTGTCTGAGAGTCTAGGGACTCTTGGAGAGCTGTTCTGGCCAATAGCTCACTCTCTGCAACTATGGACTGGAATTCCTCCCTGCAGTTGTGTAGCAGATACTCAATAAATGCCGTGAACTTGTTGTAATTAGTAAGGCTGTATTTGGCCATGACCACATGAGTTAGGTGGGGGATAGGAAAATAAAAGTCTGAATCCTTAAGGGGCACATAGTATTTCTTATCCGCCCTTTTGCACATTGGTGGAACAGTGGTCAGTGTCTGCCATACCATCTTAGTTGGAAGCAGGAGAGCCTCATTAACAGGTAGTGCTGGTCTGGAGGGTGTTGCTGACTGCAAAATATCTAGCCGCTTGTGCTGTGGATTTTACACCTCCTCCAGAGAGATCTGGAAGGTGTCAACTACCCTTCTAATTAAGTCCTGAAATTGTCTGAAGTTGTCAGCCATGGAAGGTGGTGGAGGCGTAACTGCTTCTTTCGGCAATGACCGTGAAATGGGAATCTCAGGGGTAACTTCCTCATTTACCCTAGCCTCATGCTCTTCAAACATCTCCTGTCCTGGGGCACAGGAGGTCGTGAAACCCTGGTCTCCCTGAGAGAAGGTATTTGTGGATTGTTAAATTGCTGGTGATAGGCAGGCCACACATCACAGTATGGCCACTACATAAGGAATGGGTGTGGCATACAAGGTTGGTTCCACCATCCTTGGTGTCACACAAGGTCCTCTCTGTAAGAGGGTGGTTTCCCAAAGGGGTACATAAGAACTCCTGGCAGAAATTGAGGAGCTCGACTGGGAGTCGTCCTCCTCTGCATCCTCCCATGGGGGACATCCAACGTAGATGAGAAGAGTCCTGTGTCACAGAGAGGCCACACAAAGACCGAGGTCTCAGTATTGTGAGACAGGCGGTACCAGACAACAACAGAGATTCTGGTTCGTCCGACACAGAGGTCCCTCAGGTATCAGAACTCCTGTGGTACTGGATGCCATAGCTGGAGGTTATGGTGCCAACAACAATGGGTGAACTCAAATGTTGTAGATGTCAGGCACTGATGTTTGCTCAGTACAGAGGGTACCACTTGTATAGATACCCCCAGCTGAGCTGTTTGCATTGGTACCAATGGCTGGATTAAGGTGCACAACATCAACAGCTCAGTAGAATGCTTTGGTGCTGATGACAGTGCTGAGTTCGATGGTACCCTAAGTTTACCATCCTTACTGGTGGAGGGTACAGTGCACTAACAGAGCTGTGCCTCCTGTCCTTAGAGCTCCAGGCTTCGCAGTACCCAAGGACGAGTCCTTGGCCTCAACGGTAATATCAGACACTGAGGACCTTGACAGGGACCTGGTCTTTTTTGAAGCTGGCTCGTTAGAAAAAGTCTGCACTCCTTTTTTTGGGAATTTTCCCAGCATCCAAAGATATCCCTTCCTTAGGGGAAGCATGCCCCGAATCTGATGGGGCACTGGAGCTGTCTGGGGACAGATATACGGGGCGATGTGGCGTGTCTCCTGACCTGGCTTACAGAGCGGTTGCAGGGAACGTTCCATAGCCAACAGTCTGAGCTTTATCTCCCTGCTCTTCCTAGCCCTGGACTTAAGGGTCAAACAGAAGGAACACTTCTGAGAGATGTGGGACTCCCCCAGGCAATAGATGCACTTGGGAGTGCCTGTCGCTTACCAGTTTAGCCTCCCAGCAAGAGTGGTGACGTTTGAAGCATGACAAACCAGGCATACCCTGGAGAAGACAAATATCCCGGGATAAAAGGGAGGGGGAAAAAAACAAAAAAAAACAACAACAATCTTCTCAACTAAAACTAACTAATTATACTGAACACTAAACAGAAACCTATAACTATAAAGCAACTAACTTTAAGAAAGAGAAAAGGCCAAGAACGCTGTAGGAGGACAGTGTTCTGTCTCGGGCCAAAGCAGTAGAGGAGAAACTAAGGGCGATTTGTCCACGCACCCCTATACAGCCTGGTGTCTGCCATGAAAAGGCACAGGGCACATGCATGGGCTGAATGGACAGTGCTAGCTAGAAATCTATGATCAAGGGTTCAAGAGTACCACCTGAAGTGGAGCATCCACAGGGATACAACTATAAGAAGGAACACTGTTTACAGCTTTCACAGTTTGCTGAACTAAAATAAGAGATTTTTACTTTACAGATTTAAACAGAACCGCTGAGATTCAGCTCCATGTTTGTATTTCCAAGTTAATGGACTGAGAAGGGCAATAGTTTATGACTGATTTAACAATTAGTATAACAGAGGAATGTTGCTCAATAATTCTACTGATTATTAATCTTATTCCAAAAATAGGTCTAATAAAATAATAATAATGTGCTCAAATCCTTTCAATTACAAAAAAATTTCCTCCTTAGATATAGCACCCAGGGGATATAATCAAAATTATGTATGTTGCAACACACTGTTTTTCATGCAGAAAAAAAACAGACATTTATTTATTTAGAGAACCTCAGTATATCAGTGGCAAGCTACCATGAATGAGAACCGTTACAAAGACATTTATATTGTACACTAGGACGTGTGCAAGGTTGAGTGCTCCTCAGTGTGCAGATGCAAAGTCCATGTGCAGGTGGCAGCATTTAAGTGACAAAGTTACACACCTCCTCTTCCTCTGCTTTGTCATTCAGGTCATTGTCATAAGAGGCGCTCAATGAAGTCGCCTTAGGCTCCAGGTAGCAGAGGGACAGAGCGAGAGGAAGGGAAAATGTGAGTGAGAAAGGAACAGACTGAAAAGCAGAGAGAAGCAGCACAAAGATAAGGAGAAAAGAGGGAATGAATGAGGGAGAGGTGATAGGAACATAGTGTTGAAGACCAGGTGGGAGGTAGGAGATGCAAACCTCAGGGAGGCTAGGAAAACTGATGTAACCGTCCTCATCAAGCAGTGAAAGGAAATTAGAAGCAAAGAGTTTGCTAAAGCTTAATGAAAAACTAAACTCAGTATCTTTGTAGTCAACTATTTTATGGGGCTTTCCCTCCATTGCAGGAGAAGAATGGTGACTAACTGGGGGTCTCATAGGCTGCAAGATATTATTAGGCAAGGTCTCTTCATTTCCACTGTGAGTTGGTATTACTCTCATGGGACTGCATTCCCAGCAGTCTGAGAGGCTATGGACATATTCCTGAAAGGGATCTTCCTCTGAAATGTCCAAAAGCATGTCCATCTCAGGGATAGTTGGCAGGTTTGTGGGACAGGATGAAACACAGTGAAGGGGTGGTGATGGTGGATACATGTGAAGGGACTGAAAAAAAAGTCCAGCCACAGTTGAATACGAAAACACAACACAATGTAAGTTTGTAGGCAGAAAGAATGCACAAGAAGAGGGGGGAAAAAAGAAATTGTTAGTTAGTGAAACCTTTTACTCAGAAGTAGAGCCAGCACTACCAATGCAATATAAAAGCCAAATAAAAATTGAAAAGCCCCATGTATTTTTAAAAATTAGCCCACTTGTCCAGTTTTAAGAATTCTGAATCTGAACCCATTACAGATTTTTTGTTTTAAGGTTGTGACAAACTTTGCACTTTTGAACGGTAGTAAGTGCAGTCACAACTGATGGGAGCAAACAAACATTAAAAGCTTTGGCAGAAAGTTCATGGCATACAGCAGCACGTAAAAAAGACAAGCAGGCACTTTGATCCTAGGATTTACTACCATTTCCTCTGGAATTTAAAAACAGCAAAAAAAGAAATAAATAGTATTTAGAAAATGCTATTTGCAGAGCTCATACATGTAGCAAGCTACACTGAATAGCTTCATAAAACATGCAAGCCCTTCCCAAACCGTTGAGCTTTTCCATCCCATGGCTGAGGAATCTTTCTTGGTTGCGTAATCTATCCTAGGGTGCCCCAGCTTTGTGACTCTGAGGGACCACATTGATATCTTGCCAGGAGCCAAAATTTGCATATTAATTTACCTAAATACATGTTTTCATCAAATGTAGAACTGTGTTTTTTTCCTTGACTGACTAGAAGTTAGTTGTTTAAGTTCCCTGGCAATAAAAACATGAGGCTGTTCATGTTTGGTCTCACATTGCAGTTATAGGATGAGGGGAGCTGTGCTGTAAGCTGCATTGGGAGACTCAACTGCCCAAATGATGTGCCCTGGTAGTGATTTGGGTACCCTTTGCCTAATTCACAAAAATGCAGTTTTCAAAATGAAAATTCCTTAAGGTTTTTTTAAAAACCCGAGAGTAACGGAAATTTCTGGATGTCTGTCAGGAAAAACAGGCATACAGAGCTCATACATGTAGCAAGCTACACTGAATAGCTTCATAAAACATGCAAGCCTTTCTCAAATCGTTGAGCTTTTCCAGTTATAGAAACACATTTCTATAACTGGAACTATTTCTGAACTCCAAAGCTTGAGCTTACATTTTGGAAAGAGGTGTTGCCACAAATATTGATGTGAAAGCATATAAAACAAAATCCAAATTAAAGTTTATGATCTGCTTCCTCGCCAACTCCAATAAATAAGACAAGTAAATTGCCACTTGCATTACAGTTTCTCCACCATCAACAAACTGAACTTTCCCTGGAAAGCTGTGTATCAGTTCTACATGGAAATTCTTTTAATAAGTTAATGTGTTTCTATAACTGAAACTGATGTATAAAAGGACAGCTTAAAAGATTTTTGCAGTTGGCATATAAAGCAAGCACCATGTTAAGCATTGAAATTTACTTGAAAAAGACAAAATATACACAACCAAACAACAGGTTGTGTATGATTCCAGATATACTAGCACAATTTTTAGAAGTTTGTTCATAGTAAAAATTATATAAACTAGCTAAATGTAGCTTAAAGTAAGTTAAGAGAAAGTTCAATTTGAACAATTATATACGGAAGTGTTTAAGTAGTGCCTAATTATGGCAAATTAAAATCAACTTGTAGCAACAATTAAAAGGAAAAAAATCACAAAATTGAATGTCACACATGCAAATTTGCAATTTGTTCCTCCCTTTTGGTTATATAAAATACGCTGGTTAAACATAAAGGAGGAGTTTGAAATAATTTATCAACAATATCTTCTAGTATGCTGCTTGTTATTTTTAAAGACATACAACTCCACTTTAAATGTTTGTTGAGAGTTATTTTTATTGTTACAATCCATCATACCTTTTCATCCTGGGTTAATTCCAGTTGGGGAATTTTAGTTGGGCTTCCATCCTCATCTCTACCTTCGCCGTTTTTTAACTTGGTCTGGCCAACAGCTTCACCGTCAAAGACCATAACACCAGCAGGTCCCACTGTGGTAGCAGAAAAATCCCTTAGCAGACTTTGGTCTGTGATACCCACAGGAGCTATTACAGAACAGAAAATTTTAGTTATTCTAGGTATGCTGGAAATTTTTATTTTCATGACTTCTGAACATAAAATACTCTGTTTCACAATGGCTTAGCCATTTAGGGATAAGAACAATCCAGAAGAAAACTGTGTAACTGAACAGTAAATGAAGTTATGACAACATCAAGTGTATGATTCTAACTGCATTTATACAACCGGCAATGGATAACTGTTCCTAATTGTAATGTGTATGTACTATACATAGAAAATACTATAGTCAAGTAGCCATTTTAAAAATTATCACATTTTTGGTGGCATGTCATTATATACCCATGATAAAAACCGTCTTGCACAAATTTGATATTTTCAGTACATTCGGTTTTCAGCTAATACAGAAACACCATGCACATATAGTTCTCTCAAAGTATTTCTACTTCTGAACACAGACAAAACACTGTAGAAACACACAAAGTTCAACATAAAAAAAAGTTATACTTTTTCAAACTTTGTATCTTGAGAGAAACTTTAGTTTTTTTTTCTTTTATCCAACTTGGTTTACTCATTCCTGTTAGCTAGTTACTGGCAATACTTAATATGTATATTTGATGTATGATGTAACAAACACAAAAGACATTAGAGATATTGAATCAATTTTATTCTGACAGCTAGAATCACTATAATAGTATTAACCAGCAGGAGGAGCTCTAAGACCAGCTGGCTCAGCCAAAACACTGGCAATAATGCAGCAGACATTCAACCTGAAATTAAAACTGTTTAAATAAGTACACCTTTGAGAAGAGATGCAAGAGAGTAGTGAAAAGTGGCCAGAAGAATAAATATACCTGGGTGAAGAATTCTGACAGGATTACACAAGCCAAGAAAGCTAACAGAAATGGTAGCTGTGACAGAGTGGGAATTTTTCATAATATTTTGTATGAATATTGTGTGTGCCTGGGTTCCCCTACGTGGGGCCTGGTTAACTAGGTGGTGGGAAAAGGTTGTTTTCCTTTGTAAAGATGCAAAGATACAGGTTTCACCGACTCCTAGCTGCCTGGAGCCTGGCCCCCATGACCACGGAGAGTCCGAGAAGACAATGGCCACTCCAATTGCCCAGACATTTGGCACCTAGCAATTAATGACGATGGATGGCCCACCCTACTTAGGAAGCCAGCCAGGTTTGACCAGCTGGAAAACAAAGGGTTAAGGAGGAGGGCATGGTGACAATGTTTGCCTGGGAACAAGAACAAAGGACTGAGGAGGGACCAGGTGGGGGGTGTTGGCTGTTGGAAGATGGTGGTAAACTACTAAAATCTCATATCTGGGGCAATATGAGCAGATATGGAATTGACACTGTACCAAGAACAATATCTATATGTAAACATCTGATTTGTTTGGCTTGAAGTTGCAAAATAATTACTCAAGAAAGTTTTACTGACTTAGTGTAAACCAAGAGGAGAATGCCTTGCAGTGCACATTACAGGGGGAGATTGTCAAAGGCACAAATATCAGTTAGGTGCCTAATTCCCATTGAAAGTCAGTGAGAATTTAAACTCCTTATTTTATCAGGTGAAAGTGATTTATGCCGGTGCTCTTTTGCAGAGCAACGCTCTGTCCTACACCTCTCAGAAACCAGTCACAAAGACTTGAGGGGTCTTTTACAAAGAAGATGCTTGGGAGCTTACAGCAGAGAGTCAGAGCTCACTCTGGTTACCCATAGTTTTCAGAACTCAAAGCTGTGGTAACTTAACTGTTTCACTCCAGGTGATGTCAGGATTAAATCAATGGGAACACTGCGCTTCTGGCTGATGAAAGATTGGTACAAGTGAACATGATCTTATCTAAAACTACTATTGATTAGATTTAAGCACACACAGACATAAGCAATAGGTTTAGAACATCCAATAATTACACCTCTACCCCGATATAGCACAAATTCGGATATAAAGCGGTAAAGCAGCACTCTGGCGGATCAAAGCAAGTTCAATATAACACGGTTTCATTTATAACACGGTAAGATTTTTTGGCTCCAGAGGACAGCGTTATATCGGGGTAGAGGTGAACCTAAAATCTGAGATGTTATTGAGTAATTAGTAGCAGGCCAGCGATGGCTGGTCGCTTCCCAGTTGGGGAGTATGGGGTCAGGAAAAGTCTCTCGGGACAGCTTAAGGTAACTGCTCCAAAGCACACACTATTATCTACAGAGAGTCCTGTGGCACCTTTAAGACTAAGAGATGTATTGGAGCATAAGCTTTCGTGGGTGAATGCCCACTTCGTCAGACGCATGACGTACCACGCGCCTGACGAAGGGAGTATTCACCCACGAAAGCTTATGCTCCAATACATCTGTTAGTCTTAAAGCTGCCACAGGACTCTCTTGCTTTTTACAGATCCAGACTAACACGGTTACCCCTCTGATACCTGACACTATTATCTAGTCTTTTTATAAACGATTTTTTACAAAACACATAGCTCATACTGACCCCTACTGGGTCATCACTTCTCCTAACTTCAATCAACTACTTATCAACAAAACATTTCTAACAATCTTAGCCATAATAAGCATCTATATCAAAAGGCGCCCAAACTCAAGGTCTCCATCCACTTATTTTCCTTCAGTCTCATAATTTGCTGACTCTTTTCTCCCCTCCTCACATTCTGATTAGCAGAAACTGCAAGCCTGCAGCTAATATTTGACCTTGCCTCCAAAAGCCCTGCTTGTCCAAATTAACCCTTAATTATGTGGTGTTCTATTTTATTAATTCATGGTGGCTGAATGCACACAATATGTCTGCAATTAGCTTGATCAAATAATGAGTAACACACCCCTCAATTCCAAGGTAACATTCACCAAAGCACTCTTGGAAGAAGATGCTCTATTCTGAGAGGGTCCTTAGTGCCTGGATCAAAATGATATCTCATGGACTGGTCTTATAAGAAAAGTTTCAGAAAATGAGGGACACTTGCCTGAGTTCATTTGGAAAGTAATCTATATGTTGAGCACTTCAGCGATATGCCCCTCACTTAGACAAAATAAACATGGTATGCCATCACTAAGAAGCATGGCTGCCTCACATGAGGGGCAGTATTTAAAACTGGAGGATCTGGGCTCAGTCATTATGGCTGGAGCTCAGTACCTAGTACATTAAAAAAAAAAACCACCAACCAAAGTTATCAAAAGATCTGTCAACTAACTACAACTAAAGTAGTTGAGTTCAACTAAAGTAACTGCTAACTCACTAAGATAATACACAAACAAAGCTAGCCAAGTTGCAGGAGATAAAGACATCCGCATGTGCAGTAAGAAGGAACTCAGGGGAGGGTGGCCTCGCTCCACCCTTTATGCCACCAGTTGGAGTGTGTATGGGGGGGGGGAAAATGGTGTGACATCACTCAAGGTGCAGGTGCAACCCAACGCAAATTGCTAGCCAAAGGATTTCAATCTCGAGAGCACGGGGTACATACTTACCAACAATGGAACACATAAGGACAATCACTCAAGGAAGAACAGGAGATATTTTACAGGGGTGCGGAGGATGATTAGTTCATATCTGTACAGTGCTACGAAAATGTGAAGTATTGTGTACCCAACATATAACGACACTTAAGGCCAAGTATTTCCATTCTAATAGATCTTTAGTTTAGTATAGCTTCCTCAAACCTTTACTATTACAGTGGTTTGTTGAAAATAGATTTTGATCTGAACAAGTCATATTTAAAAATACTGCACGCATGCATTAATTTTTTATGCATTCATATGAATGTTGAGTAGAATTTTTCAATCAATATACAAATACATATGAAATATGATCTATATCGGGTGGACAAACTTTTTGGCCCAAGGGCCACGTCTGGCTGGGGCCATGAATGTAGGGCTGGGGCAGGGTGTGGGGGTGTGGAAGGGGGAGGCAGGGCACTGCTTACCTGGAGCAGCTCTGGGGTGGCAGCGGCGCGCAGCGGGGCTCAGGCAGGATCCCTGCCTGCCCTGACCCTGCACTGTGTCGCTCCCAGAAGTGGCCGGCACCACGTCCCTGTGGCCCTGGGGAGCGAGGGGCAGAGGGCTCCACACGCTGCCCTCGCCTGTGGGTACCTCCCCCGAAGCTCCCATTGGCCGCGGTTCCCTGTTCCAGGCCAATGGGAGCTGCAGGGTGTGGGGCCTGTAGGTGAGGGCAGCGCACAGAGCCCTTTGCCCCTGCCCCCAGGGGCCGCAGTGCCAGCCGCTTCTGGGAGCGGTGCGGGGCCCTCGGCACCACGGGGGTGGCAATCCCGTGGGCCGTAGTTTGCCTATGGGATCTATATGCTGATTCTATATCTATATTTTGATCTATATGCTGATTCTATAAGATCTTTTAATGTATATACTGAATGAAGTAAAGCTTCACTACAGCCACTGACTCATTTGCACCGGTGTATCATAGCATATTTAGTGTTTTAGCTGACAGGATAGACCAGGGGTAGGGAAACTACATGCAGCTCAGCCCCGCTCCGGCCGGGGGTCGCACCATGCAGCTCTTGAAAGCTGTGGCATGGCCCCTTCTCCAGCTCCTACATACTCCAATGGGAGCTGTAGGGGCGGTACCTGTGGATGGGGCAGTGAGCAGAGCCGCCTGGCTGCGCCTCCACGTAGGAGCCGGAGAAGGGACATGCCACTGCTTCCGGGAGCCGCTTGAGGTAAGCGCTGCTCGGAGCCTGCACCCCCCGAGCCTCTCCCCACGCCCCAACCCCCGGATCCCCCTCCCGCCCTCCAAACCCCTCGGTCCCAGCCCAGAGCACCCTCCTACACCCCAAACTCCTCATCCCCAGCTCCACCCCAGAGGCTGCACCCCAACCCTAATTTTGTGAGCATTCATGGCCCGCCATACAATTTCTATTCCCTGATGTGGCCCTTGGACCAAAAAGTTTGCCCACCCCTGGGATAGACAGTGTATAGTGAATAAAATGGGGTCACTCAATAAGCAGCAAAAGTAACAAGTACAATTATTAACTGGCTAAAGAGATTTTCCTGTACAATTATGTAGTAATGGTCATTTTGTTATTCAGTCCCAGTTTGGGGTTCTTAGTAAAGTAAGATCATAAACTAATCTCCAGAATTACTCCTTTTCAGGAAAAAAAGGAGAAGCAGAAAAGAAAAAATAGCACAGAGTACAGAAGGCCAAAGAAAAGCCTGAAAGGTAGGTAAAGGGGATAGCAAATGAATGATAGGACAGAGAGGAAAGGGGTGGGGGGAGAAGAGAGAGTGTAGCCTACCCCTGGGTTACCACATGATAAAGATATACGTAATGAGTCAGTAATACAAGAAACCTATAGGTCCAAGCTTCAATTCTGAGCATAAGAATGAGGCCAAGCAGCTTTACCATAGTTCTTCAGTCTAGTTAGCAGAAGTGAGTTAACCAGCAGTCACCCTAAGTCACAAGATGGCATAAGACAGAGTTTTGCAATATCTGATTTTGCTGAAACTAAGTATAAAACTGCTGATAGGTAACTGCAACAAGCCAGCTAGTAACAGTTTAGGGTATTTTTTAGATAGGAACATCAGCAGATGCCCAATCACATAGTGCTATAGTAATCAACTGACGTATATGCTTATAAGCTTGGGATAATTAATATACTAACCTATAGGATAAGGACACCTGAACAGTATTAGGATGAGGAATTTTAGATATGGAAAAGGACGGATATTCTTATGCATATTCTGTATAGGCAGCCATTAAAGCCTATACAACAACTAAGAGAATGTTAGGTGTCCTTATGGATGCTCCATTCTATGTGCGCATGCACCCCGTGCACCTCAGATCGGAGATTTTAGGTATCAGTGTCTGTTCGGCTGCTCACATGCCTCCTGCAGCCTCTTTTCCAGCACCGTGGCTATATAGAGCTGCGCATCTGAATTGCCCTCAATTCCTTCTCTACTGCAGAGCTCCACTGTAAAGAACTCTGAATCAGAAGGGAGGAGGATTGGTAGTGGAGCACTCATAGGGGGACACATCTCGAAAAACCATAGTTACTGCACAGGGTGAGTAACCTTCTCTTCTTCTTCTTCAATTAGTATCCTATAGGTGCTCCTATCTAGGTGACTACTGAGTAGTACCCTCTACGGAGGGGTGGGGCTTCAGAGTTGAGTCTAATATTGAAGATAGTACAGTAGAGCCAAACATGGCATCAGAAGCTGAGGTGTGAGTAAGTGCATAGAGTTCACAAAATGTATGAATGGAGGTCCAAGTCATGGCTCTACATATTTTTGTGATGGGAACATCCTTAAGAAAGACTACTGAAGTAGAGAAGGATCTCATGGAGTGAGTTAATTCTCTGGAAGGAGGTTGAAGATCATGAGACTGATAGCAGTAGGTAATGCAGTCAGATATCCATCTAGAGTGTCTTCGCTTGGAAACTGGAGATCCCTTAGTTCTGTCCACAATGGAGAGAAACAAGCTGGGAGATTTTCCAAAGGGCTTAGTCCTGTCTAGGTAAATGGCTAATGCCCTCCTGATATCAAGTGTATGTAATGCCGCATCTCCTTTATCTTGGTGTGACTTGGTGTGGGAAGAAAACAGGAAAAAGGATAGGTTGATTTATGTGGAAGTCCAAGGATACCTTTGGTAAGAACTTGGGATGTGGTCCCAAGATGACCTTCTTCTTAAAAAAAGGCTTTGAAGGGCATATATGCCATTAAAGCCCCACTTCTACAACTCTTCAAACAGAAATAATGGCTACAAGATAGGCTGTTTTCATAGACATAGAAGTATAGAAGGGAGCAGGTAGCCAGAGGTTCAAAGGGGAGGGGGGGGGTTATATGGCATCTGAGCACCAAGTTGAGATTCCATGCCAGTGTAGGGTATCTGACTTCTGGGAAGGGGTTCTCCAGTCCCTGGAGAAACCTTCTTGTTGTAGGCTCCCTAACCCAAAAGGTATGCATCTGTTGTTATTACTGATGTTGGAGATGGTTGAGCAAAGGAGATCCCTGCACAAAAACACTGAGGGTCCTTACACCAGTCAAGGGTGTTTTTCATGACTGAAGGCACCAAGACTAGTTTGTTTAAACTGTTTCAGCTGGCAAGCCATCTAGGCCCGGGGCTTTACCCGATTTCATGTCACTTACAGAAGACAATTGCAAAGGTATGTAATGGGGAAATCAAGCCAAATTTACTGTTCTTCTATTTGCTGGGGGAGCTGCAGATTTTGGGCGTATTCCTCGAGTGATTGTCAAGGGGTCTTCCTCTAAGTACAAGCTTTGGTTACATTTGGATAATTGTTCATTAACACATTTTTTATTGGTATCTGACCCTGACTTGAGCAATTTGAGGGGATTTTAGCTTTTAGTGAATTAAAATCTATGCAGTAACAGATTCCCAGTACATCTGTTTTAATCTAAACAAAGCAAATTCAGCCTGAGCTAAGGTTATCTTATTAATTTCATATCAGAGATTGGAGTTTATCTGAAGAGGGAGAATCAGCATAGTTGAGGTCTGCCTTATTGGGCTTTTTCATTACATTCGTCAGCTCAGTCTGCCTGGCTCTTTTGTGAGAAAAGTAGGATATTATCCTGTTCCTTAAATATGACTTGAAAGTGTCTTACAAGTTCAACCGTGAAACCGAAGGGCTGTTGTTGGTCTTAAAGGAAAATTGTATTTCTTCTTTCACAAGCTTTTTACACTGCACTAAAGTCCCTTACTACAGTCATATTTTCGAGGGTGAGGGGGTGGGGAGGGGGAAGGGGGAAGGGAAGGAGTCAATCTCGAAAATAATTGATTGAAAAAAGAGGGATCATCTTTGTTGGGGGTCACAAGAATATATTTAACAATGGAGATGCAAACTTTAACAATTACAAATCTTCCCTCCATGTCTTTGTCAATTGATAGGATTTGTGTGCTCAGTTTTTTTTATGGAACAGGATTGACACCTCCACCCCCCTAGACTTGGCTGAGTAATTACTACAAATGCCATCACCAATCCAGCCTTTAAGCTTTACAGCCTCAGACTCAATGAGGTGTGCTTCATGGAGAAATATACCATCAGCTTTCAAGTTTCCTAACTGAGACGCACCTTTTTTTTCCCCCCTTTCATAGGGTGACCAATTCCTTTTATGTTCCAAGAAACACATGTAAGTAAATTAGCCCCAGGTACTCACAGGGGGAAGTGTCCCAGCAAATGTTTTATGCTGTGCCCCCCAAAACTCAGGGCTATGGGTAGGGTGAGGTATATCTAGGGGAATTCATGAGTTTAGACAGAGAAGAGAAGCTCGAGGGGCTTAGCATTAGTTGAGGGTTTGGGGAGCAACGGGCTCTTTCTAGGACCAGGTCTGTATCAAGGTGTAAGGAAAGTACCTTAGACAAAAATTCTACTGGCTTTTTCTACTTCCTCAGGGTACCCAGCTACTCTCAAATCTTCAGGTCATTGATTTCATCATGTAGCTTTTTGATCAGATGTTGTTTGTCTCTAGTGATGCTAATAGAGCCCATACTGTCTTCTAAAGTAGAGATTCTAGTTTCTGTCTCCCCAGTGCTGGAGGATAGCCTCTGCAAACTCAGCTGTTGTGGTAAAGTCGCGGCTTTAATTTCAGAGATATCCTTGATATTTCCTTAAAGCAGGATCTGTTCTTTGGATATCTGCTTTTGAATTTTGTAGACTTGATCCAGGCCTACTAGGCACTCCTCCTTGAGTCCTGCCATGCTGCCCTGCACAGGGCTGAAAGAGATCTTCTGTTTCTTTGTGATTTGTGGGAAACCCGGGGAGGATGTTAAACAGAATGAACCACGCAGAGACGAAAAAACTGTGGCCTTAATATAGTGGATGTCGGTGGAATTTTGTGGGCCTGAGCAGGAACTCCAGATCTAGGCATCCATTTTCCCTTGCTGGCTCCCAGAAGTTCTGTGTTTTAGTCTAATTCCATGCTTAACATTTCATACCAATGTTATTTTTAAATATCCACAATAATTACTTGTAATGTGTGTAGTAAACCTTTAAAAAAAGGTGTGGCTTAGCAAAATTTGTATTTACTCTACAAAGCTTTTTGAAAAAGATTTACAGCTCACAATGTTAGCACAGCAACAGTATCACTGCTAAAAAGGTTATTCCCCCCCCCCCACAAAGAAAACACAAAACACATTAGGAATTGCAGAAAATGCTTTTACATTTTGTAGAATGTAGAATAGAAAGGAAAGGAAAGGGAAGGGGAGAATAACTCAGTGGTTTGAGCATTGGTCTGCTAAACCCAGGGTTGTGAGTTCAATCCTTGAGGGGGCCACTTAGGGATCTGGGGCAAGAATCAGTACTTGGTCCTGCTAGTGAAGGCAGGGGGCTGGACTCAGTTCTGAGATAGGTGTATCTCCATATTAAAAAAAAAAGCACCAGGGAATAGGTGTAATATAGTTGGCAGTCAACACACACATGAATTTGTAGAACTGAGTTGTAAATTTCATCAAGTCTGATTATTAACCTTCTAGGCATGCAGATGTTAGCATTTTCTAAAGTTATAAACTGAACTTAGAAAGCAGCAAGATGCAATGAAACCATCACGTAATACATAATCTCTTACCCCCATCAAGACTCCTGGAGACACGTTTGCTTGAGGTGCGCTCAAAGTACGGAGCTGGTCTGTCTATAAGGTTGCTAGCCTGCCGTGTCTGTGCTTGAGTACGGCCACTGTAGCGGAACTTGGAACCCAAGGTCAGAAATTTTGCCTTAGGAGGCTGTTCTGGTGATACAAGTCTAAAAAACAAATACGAGAATAAAAGTAATTTCTCTAGTTGTTTTAAATGCTTTAGTGCAGCACTTCATAACTGCTCATCATACTAGGAGTTAATTTGGAAAGGAAAATTGTTTAATGATAAAATTCAAGCTTTAGATAGACATAGCATATAAGATTGTTAAAAGTTTGTAAAGTTGTCTTATCTTGCAAAAAAGTACAAAGAAAATTAAGCGACAAGTATCAAAATAACTGAATTTAATAAATTTTGCAGTGGATTACACTTACTTTTTAATTATTTTTTTTTACTTTAATTGCTAATCATGATATTCAGAAATTTGCTGTTGGTCTGCCAGATATCACTGAGAATTAGCAAGGTTCTACTGTATTTCAACAATAGAAATTAGTGACACTAACAGCAGTTAATAGCAACTGGCTAAATGACCAATGCTCTAGAAATTAGAAGATTGGTGTTTTCATTTAAGATACTGATAACTGAAAAAGCTTAAAAGTTCTGTTTGAGCAAGGCAGAGGGAAAAAGCCAGTAATGGTCCAGCAACATACAAAAAATGATAACATGCTAAATCCCTAGAAAATTACTCAAAGCATCTCAGCTGATATAGATCTTACATTATTTGTTTGGTGCCCACAGCTTTAGCATTCAATGCCTATACCAACTTTAAGGTTTTTCATGTTGCAAACTCTGACAGTTCCAGAACTGTGGTCTATGAAGAACTGGCTGGTCATGTGATGCTCAGTCTCTTTGTTTCTAGCTACTTCTTTTGATATCCAGGCTCTTTATTGCAAAAGAGAGAGATCTATTACTTTTAGAAGTAGTTGGAAATGAGGAGCAGCCAGACTAGTTGTCACTGTTAGATATTAGAGGAGAAGGAACAGGAGCTGACCACCAATAGGACTGGAACTGGTGGCATAGCAAGGAAGGAAGAGAAGCAGGGGGATGAGAGGACCAGATGCCTAGGCATAGGCAAAGAATGCTGTGACAAACCATAAATGCAACAGGGAATCCAAAAAAGAAAAAAAAATAGCAGAGAGGGAGCTAAAGAGAAGAAGTAGATCATGTGATTTTTTTTTTTCAAAAACCAAAATATTTATGCATTATAGACAGCTGCAAATTATACAAGTATGTTCCTTAATACTTTCTCATGAAAGCAACTGCTTTAGATGCCATATGGCTATTATGCAAGGACTAGTAGGAAAAGAAATGTCCTTGTGGACAATCTCCTCTACTAAGCTGTGGTCCACATTGTAATAAGTTTGAGATAACCTGAATTCAGAGAAACAATTCCGTCACAAAAACTGGAGAGCCTATTAATTCCTGAATCTTGCAGCACATAATCCACATTTATCTACAAAGGCTTTTACTGCTGCCATTTCTAATCTGGTCCCTTTTAGAGACTCCCCTACAGCAATATTTGAAACCTTTAGAAGTCCTCTGTGAATTTAGATAAAGCATCTGAGCATTCCCTGTAGCTTCCGCAAATTCCTCAGGAAGCATCTGAGTTCAAAATATATCTTTAAGATCTTCAATTACGATTGCAAGGATTCCTTCCTCAGGTAGGTAGGCAAAAATGGTGGCCATCTTGATGAAAGGTTAATTTGCACACCCTCCTATTTTAGGATGCTTAAACAGCAGAACTACTAACCATCTTGAGTTTCCCTTCTTTGATTGTGAGGACAGCCTTATACCACAATCCTGTCTGAATAATTTCTGTAAATTCTCATTGACAATACAGTGTTTCCTAAAGTAAGTCTATTTTGGAATGAGGAGAAAGAAAGCAGAGAATATATTTCCAGGGTTGTTACTGTTCTTTGTTTTCCAATGTTGGCAAGGCTACAGCATTAACTGCCATTTTTATCCTCTAGCCTGCTGAGATAAACTTTTAATCTTTTAATAAGGAAAAAACAAGAGAACTAATTACTTCCTGACTAAGGGTATTTTAAAGGATATTTTATATTTCATGCTTAATTACATGTAATAACTGACAAACTATGGTTACATCAGTGCAAAAAGTTCTGGGAAGACACTAAAAAAATGAAAATTTCAAATACAACATCACAAGTACTATACGTGATAATTTATACATGGGTATACACACACAATCTTTCTGTATATGGTAAGGTTCAAAGCTGAAGACTAAGACTACCTGCAAAGAGTAGAGTAGATACCCAGTTTGACAGCAGCTCTTAAGTGGATTGTTACTTACTGCAAATGTAACTGGAATTCTATACGGTTTGAACATCCATAAATATTATAAAAGAAGGGCACAGATTGGCTTGTTTTCATATTTAATAGTCTATGTATAAAGTTTGGTAAGTCATCTTTTAAACTAAGAGGGATACCATCCAATATACATAGCTTACATTAACACAAGCCTTCAGTTATCTATGAGGAATTACTAACCTTAGGAAAAGAGCTTTCCTTAAACCTGGAAGATGAATTGTATGTGTGAATTACATGCACAATTCACTGTCATGCAGTATGCACAGAACATGTGGCAGGAGCAGGGAAAAACATTAAATTTTTTTGGGCTGTAACAGTTGTGATACTGTTTATTTCTGGCATTCAATGAGAGAAAACAGATCCGGATTTATTTATTTTATTATTTTAAAATCCTGATGAGAGGTTCTGGGGATTTTCTGCCTGATGACATCAGTGGAAGTACATGATGGTGAGAGTATTTGAAGCTTAGTACTTGTTATAATACCATTCCTGACTAGAAAAATCTATTTCTGGTTGGAATGAAATCCAATTGAATTCTGTTCTATTTCTGTGGAAAGATTTTCTGATAAATATAAAATGTCACTGAAAACATTTACAGTTGCGAATTACCTTTTAAAAATCTAAACTGATCAGCTACTATAGATGTAGCTCAATTAAGAATTCTTTCCTATTTTGGACTAGATTCTAATTTAATAATGACAAAATATAAATTATCAAGCACATTTCAAAGTAACTATTTCAATAGTATGAATCATTTCAAGAACACTGATTTATCCCAGCCATGCAGCAGAGAGGCTGTGCTGCAGGTCACTTCTGGTTATGGATTGCACTCACCAAATTATTCCATTTTCTCACCTTCATATTCAGTTTGAGAAAAATCACATATCGCATATTGACAATGCATTTTTATTAATTAGAAAACCTTCCAAGCCTTATATGCTTGTGAGATTTATAGTGTCAAATGTTAAATTTCTTGAGACAGTGTGTCAGGTGTGACACACTATGAACTGCTTTCAAAATGGAATGCTTTCTAAATATGTATTTAGTGATTCACTGCTGAAACTTAACAGTGCAAATGGCAAAGCATGATTTTCTTTAAAAATAAAAACTAGAGGAGGAGGTATGGCTGAGAGAAGGGAAATTCCAATTTCTACTGCCAATTAATATAATGGGCCCAAAGCCACACAAATATTAGAATCACAGAAATTTAGAACTGGAAGGGAGCTCAATATGTCATCTACTCCACTCCCTTGCACAGGAGGCAGGACTATCTAGACAAGAGTTTGTCTAACCTCATCTTAAAAACCTCCAATGAGGGAGATTCTACAACTTCCCCAAGTAATTTGTTTTAGTGCTTAACTACACTTATTGTTAAAAGGTTTTTCCTAATGTCTAACCTAAATTTCCTTCATTGCAATTTAAGCCCATTATTTCTTATCCTGTCCTCAGTGGATAAAGAGAACAATTTATCACCCTTCTCTTTATAACAACCTTCTACGTACTTGAATATCATTTTCTTCCCCACTCAGTCTTCTCCAGACTAAACAAACCCAGTTTTTTCAATCTTTCCTCATAAGTCAGGTTTTCTGACTTAATTTTTATTGCTCTCCTCTGGACTTTCTCCAATTTGTCCACATCTTTCCCGAAGTATGGTGCCCAGAACTGGACACAGTACTCCAGTTGAGGCCTTATCTGCACTGAATAGAGTAGAATAATTACATCTCGTGTCTTGCTCACAACACTCCTGCTAATACATCCCAGAATGATGCTTGCTTCTTTCACAACAGTATTATATTGTTGACTCAGATTTAATTTGCGATCCACTATAACCACATCACTCCCATTAGAAAATATACATCTGCCACAAAAAGCTGTCTAGAGAGATGGCTTTATTATTTAACTGCTTTTACGTTCACTGCAAGGTTTATGAGAGTGTATACTGTCAATCTGGAGTAATCTCACATTACCTACTTTCAAATATTCCAAAAGGTAGAAGGAGCTGAAAAATATCAGAGGAACATGTTTGTCGAGAGTTACTAATAGGAGGCTAAACAACAATTGCAATATCTCAACTAAAATTTATTTGTGAGCAGGTTTATTTTCTGAAATACTGCACAGTGAATTGTTGGTGTATATTTTTTCTGAAGAAAGCATTTAACAAGGGCAATTTGTTCACTCCTTGGGGGAGGGATAGCTCAGTGGTTTGAGCATTGGCCTGCTAAACCCAGGGTTGTGAGTTCAATCTTTGAGGGGGCCACTTAGGGATCTGGGGCAAAATCTGTACTTGGTCCTGCTAGTGAAGGCAGGGGGCTGGACTTGATGACCTTTCAAGGTCCCTTCCAGTTCTAGGAGATAAATAAATAAATAAATGGAGATATCGTAACTACTGCACAAAAATACAGGCTGTCCTTTTACTTAACAGATTCTGGGCTGCTACAGTGTAAATGCAAGTATACAATTTAATCATGTACAGCAAGATTTCCTGTTTTCAGGAGAAATTTGACATTAAATTTGAAAATAAAGCATTCCTTGAAAGTATGAGAGGGCAAACAAGATATCTCAATACAATTAGCAACTGCATATATAACCACTGCATTTCCTATGGGAATATTCTTAATGTAGTTGGGTATATAACTAGCATGCAAACTAGAGTTGGACAAATAGATTTTTTGGTTTGCTGGCAATTCTGAAAAATTGAAAAAGGTATTTTCAGATCAAACTGAAAAGAAATTAAAAAAAAAAATCCCTGAAAATTAAAAAGTCTAATTTTTTTTGCTCTGGGTCAAGATGAAATATTTTGTTTTGACTGAACTTGAAATTCTGTTTCAATTTTGGGCATTTCTACAAAAGCCAAGGAAGGACAAGAGTCATGAAAAGAAGCAGGAGAGGGGGAGGAGGCTCTCCTCCCAATCACCTTTGACCCAATGATTTGGGTACTCACCCAGGATATGGGAGACCAAGTTTCAACTCCCCCTTCTGCCTCATGAGGAAAAGGGTTTTGAATGTCGGTGTCCTAAATTGCAGGAGAGTGGCCTCGCTACTGGGTTATGGGATATTCTCATTCTCTCCTATTGAAGCTGTTCTACTTTTTATAAATAGTAATTGAAGCAGAGGCTTGAACCTGGGTCTCAGACATCATAGGTGAGTGCTCCAAGTAGCCAACTATAGAGCCATTTTCACTTTCATTCCCTGCTCTAATGACTAGGAATTGCCATTATGAATGACAACTGATAATCATTGGGCAAGGAAAGAACGTGAGAATTACTCTATAGCCTGCTCGTTAGGGCACTCACATAGAACAAGGGAGACCCAAGTTCAAGTCCCTGCCCCAGTGACTAGAGAAGTCTTTAGCCCAGGGGTTCTCAAACTGGGGGTCGGGACCCCTCAGGGGGTCACTAGGTTATTACGTGGGGGGTCGCGAGCTGTCAGCCTCAACCCCAAACCCGGTTTCACCTCCAGCATTTATAATAGTGTTAAATATAAAAACAGTGTTTTTACTTTACAAGGAGAGTTGCACTCAGAGGCTTGCTGTGTGAACGGGGTCACCAGTACAAAAGTTTGAGAACCACGGCTTTAGCCAGTACACACTGAAAAAATGGCAGCACGTGGTCCCAACTACTACTGCATATAGTGCCCAGTGATAAGGGGACCTGATGCTTAAAAAGGCCTCCTATCCAAACAGTGGCTTGGTTCTTGCAAGTTTTGGTTTCCTCTTAGGTGTTCAGCTGCTGCACAAATTGAAATCTTAGAGCGCTATACTCTTACTCATGCAGATCTGGATGGTCAAGTAGGAATTGAGCTATAAAGTTGAATTTAATTAACCTTTTATCTAAGATATTAAAAATTAATAGTCTAGGATCAGTGATCTATTTGTATCATTCACATGTTTCAATGGGAGCCAGAACTGGATGCAAAACAAGTGGAGATAATATAGTCTCCCCCCACACACACACTTTCCTGAGAAAAATAAAAAGTTTTAACTTTTAGAAGAAGGGGGATAAGACTGAGTATTTACCTGTAGAAAGTATGGTGCTCCACACAAACCTTCCATAACCTTTTAGCAGCCCGATGGTTTGGCAATTTGAACCCAATGGTGCTTTCAAACTGTTCCAGCTGGAAAGGAGCCACAAAATAAATTAACACATTTCCTGAAAGCTGGCTAGCTTAGCAGGCTGAGTGAGTTCAGACATTTCCATTACCGCAACAAGCACTAATTCTCCTTTCTTGAGACTCAATGTCTCAAAATTTCCATACTTCTAATATAATTGCACCGGGTAGACTACTCATGCAGGATAATAATCACATTATCACTTCCTATCGGTACTTACTAATGACTCTTCTTTGGGAAAACCATAGTGCCTTAGTTTTCTTTGCAAGTTTCATGACTAGCTGCCCAGAACTGCCCAGAATTAAACAAACAAACAAAACAAAACAAAAAAAACCCACCATACTGCAAAAAGCCAATTGTGCTGAGAATTGTAGCAGCAGCCAGGCACACTTTCTCCCCTTAGTTCACTAAATACTGTACTAGGCAGTGTTCAAACTACACAGCATATTAAGTTTGTCATAATTTCTAAGCCAAAAATGTTATGTAAATGCAAGTATAAGAGGACAATACATCTATGTCTAAGAATCACAAGACATGTAAAGAGGGAGAGAAATTTTTCAAATTAAGATTTCATATTAATCACATCATCTATTGAAATATAGCAATCTCCATTAGCACAGCTACAGTTCACAGCATTTCATGTAAAAGCTACTTATATTTTTAATTGACTTCAAGTAAGTAAATAAAAGGAGCTAGCTAGTTGATGAGGATTCATTAGAATACCACATTAAGTATTTGTTATGACTGGTCATCTATGAAAAGGATTCAGAGATCCTTTATTCCCAAACAGGTGCCGATATAAATCCCACATTTGAACTCTCCATCAGAACACCTGGGGAAGTTTGGAAAACATTATCTTGCTGGTGGGCTGAACTTTAGCTTTCACTCTTGAACAGTAGCAGAAAGGTTGACAACTATTTTTTATAAAACATCTCAAGCTGTTTATGAACAGAACTGCAAGAAATGAATAAAAGCCCTACTTACCTCTGCTGGCCTGACTTTGATGTAGAAGTTACTGCGTTTATAAGAGATTTTCAAAATTTTGGGCCAAGCAAAACGGTTGATTCGGAGTCTATCCTTGTAAATGAGTAGCCCATTAGCACATACACCCAGCATGATGTCCACACCTTCAGAATCCTACCGCAAATGAGAATTTTAGACAAAATTTAAATAATGATATTTCATGGAGTTAACTATGTTAATACACTTGGGGGTACGGATGTCGATTACACTGGTTTCATGCTGAAATTACAGTAATGCCAAATGGGGTTGCGAAGAAAAGGTACACAACAGCAGGAAAAAATCTGCATTTATTAATCTTAGAAACAAGGTTGGGACTCTTGCAATGGTTTGGCATTCATCAGTCCAGTCCGCAGTGACAAGACACATCTATGTGTACATGCTACAATTTTAGAAAACACACCAAAATGATGGTGATAGGGGGCATATAAAAACCTAGATTAGAAATTGATCAGCAGTAGAGATGTGATGGATGTTAGCAAACATTTCAGCAAGCATTAAAGGGAGAAGAAAAAAAAAAAATCAAAGGCCTTGCAAACATTACAGATTTTATGAAAAATAGAGCAGGTTGGTTATATCATATTGTGCAGTTATATATAGCTATTACTTCAATTAAGATGGAGAAGGAAGTGGATATTTGCAGGGCCGGTGGTCGCCTAGGGCGGCAGGATTTTGGGGGCGGCATTTTGCCGCCATCGGTGGAAATTTGGCGGTGGGGGGTCCTTCTGGCTCCAGATCTTCGGCAGAAATTCGGTGGAGGGTCCTTCACTCGCTCCGGGACCCGCCACCGAAGTGCCCTGACGATGCGGAGTGGAAGGACCCCCACCGCCGAATGTTCAGAGGAGGAGCGCTGCCGCCTAGGACGGCAAAAACCCTGGCGCCGCTCCTGGATATTTGGCTGACAATGTCAGCTTAGCCACTTCAATCAAGGTGCTGGCAGATAGCATTTTAATCATTTTGGCCCAATGACAATGTCTGATCTCAGTTTGCAGAAGCAAATACTTACTGATAGGAATTGCATGTAATGCAAGTCTTGAGAAGAGACTTCCCCACATTATAGCACAACAAATACCAACATCCTCCCAACCAACCAGCAATAATACGAAGTGCTGACATCCAGCTGTCACTAAATTCTAGATTGACTGGAAGAATTCTAAGGGCTGAAAACTGATCTCAGAAAATAGAGCTCTTGTCAGAGCTTTTACTTGCCATGAGAAATCGCTATGGAATAATTGCAAGCATTAGAACCACTGAAAGAGTGAAAATTCTTAAAGCCATTCAAGACAAGAGTGAGCTGGTATCATGAACTTCTACTAGTGGTGGAAGTAAGGTTGCAGATGTATTTACCATACATCTCCAGTAAAGACTAGCGTACCTACATCAAATATTTCCAAGAGCAACTGGGAAAGGCCATTAATAAAGACCCAACTACCTTTCCAAGTTCCACTGAATAAAACAGAAGGTTTCTCTAGTATTTGTACACTATATAAAAAAAATCTGACTTTGGCTTCTCTTTTTAAATATTGGATTAATTTAGCATTCTGAGTCCATTAAATGAATTTTGCTACTGATTTTCTGCGAATATTGATTTTTTAAATTGGATTATATTAATTTTTGCTTACTTTTCAAAATTAAAATATCAATAGAAATGGAAGTTCATTTCCAACCATCTAGATTCAAAATCTGTACGTAACTCCCACTGGTATAAAAAAAACACTAGAGACATTTTAGGCTCCACTTTGCCTCTCCAAGCCTATCACTGGAATAAACATTTAAAACAAACTTAGTTGCTCCTAAGAATAAAGGTTGTTTTTCCCAACCTGTAAGTATGGAGCCACATGGGCTAAATAATCGTAGACTGAAGATAAACTCTCATGGTTCCTATGCCCATAAACTGAATAATTAACATGACCGCCAGATAGTATAGCAGATAAAGATACTTAAATGCAAGCCCTTCAAGTGTACATATATCTTCAGGTTGAGTGGTCCATCTTTATTGTGCTCTGTAATGGCAAGTATTTTTCAGAAAAAAATAGTTCAATACCTTGGCATGATGCAAGTCCACTCCATACATGGAAAGCCTCTTGGCATTTTCTAAGAAATGAGAATCTGCCTGTGCTGGAGTCAAACCCCTAGAACCATTAAAAGATTACTTCAGTTTACTGTCAAAAATAAATATCAAGATCATAAAACCTAGTGAAAACAGCTACATTTAGGGTATGTTAAATATTTCAGATTAGAGGAGTCTAAATCATGAATACTTTTGCACGTATCTGTATTTCTCTCCCCAGAGCCATAGGTATGTATATTTTCATTCATAGTATATTATATTTTCTTGGTAGCATTTACTATCTTTAGTGCTGCAACACAATTTTAAATTATAACCTACTCAAACATCTCCCCCCCACCCACACACACACATACACACTTTTTCCCACTTCAAAGAACTGGCTTCCACTTTTCCCTCACTTCTTCTCCCACAAACAGAATCAAGGATCTCTTCCATGACTCAGTATAACTCAATCAGCATTTTTTATGAAGTTATAAGATTGAAAAGTCACTTTGGATCATGTTAAACAGTCATCTGCTGAGTTTTCCCAGCCCTCTCTGTGACACTGGAGTAGATGATCTCCCTAATTGCCCTGACAGAAGGGCTGTGACTAGCAGAGTTTTGTTTTTAATTATAAAGATCTTTTAAAAAATACGTACACCTCTACCTCGATATAACGCTGTCCTCAGGAGCGTTATAGGTGAAACCGCGTTATATTGAACTTGCTTTGATCCGCCGGAATGTGCAGCCGGCGCCGCCCCCCCCCCTCCCCCGCCCGGAGCACTGCTTTACCGCGTTATATCCGAATTCATGTTCTATCGGGGCGCGTTATATTGAGGTAGTGGTGTACCACTCTCTTAAAGACACATTCACTAACTTATCAGGAAAAGAGAAAGTCATGAGCATGACCATCATGGATTTCAGTGCTTTACAGGTGCTACATAATTTTTACTGCACTCTGAAATATTCCATATTCTAATCTTTCATTTAAATATATTGATCCTTTTCAGTTGCCAGGACAGATCCATAGACATTTAAAATTCTTTGCTTCCCTGGTAAGCCATCCTTGCAGAAAACGGTGTCCAGGTCAAACAGTACCACCCAGGGCTAGCTCCAGGCACCAGCCGACCAAGCACGTGCTTGGGGCGGCACCTTAGAAGGGGTGGCGGGGGGCGCTCTCGGTGTTTTTTTGTGTTGTTGTTCGGCGGGGCGGCGCTCGAGGTATTTTTGTGGGTTTTTTTTTGTTCGGTCCAGGCAACGTGGGGGGTGTTTCAGCAGTGA